CTGAGCTGGAAGATGAATCTGCTTACAAATATTTCTTCTTTCTGCAATTAATTGTAAAACCTGATGCAAAAAAAAAGAAACTATAATCAACTTTTGGCTTTAATTTTCCCCCAGAAATGTGTTTATTCAGTTGATTGCTTTTGCTGCTTTCAGTCTCCTTTTCTCCTTGTAATCCGAATACAATTAAAAGCTGACAATGACGTTTACCTCATCAGGGAAATCTTTAGGATGTGGAGAAGTGAATCGGATCCGCATCTCAGGGTCGATGCGCGACACTTGGTCCAGCAGGTCAGAGAAGCGCAGGCCTCCCTTCTTGGATTTGTAAACGGTGCTGAAACCTCGGCTCAGTCTGGTCGCATCTGCCCCACAGAACTGCTCCTCGGACGTATCCCTGTAACTGTTCACATTCTGACCGAGCAGCGTGACCTCTCTTACACCCTGCAGGGATCACATACACATCCAGTCACTGCTTTGTTCAATGACTAAACTTTATCACATTTGGTCCTTTTATGAAATGTCCCCACTTTATTTGATAGAAAATCTTATCAAATAAATACATTTACAAAAAAAAAAAATTAAAAGAACAACTCAGTGGTGAGCACTCTCGCTTCTCAGCAAGAAGATCCAGGGTTTGGTTTCAATCCTGGTCGGAAGAAGGCCTTTCTGAGTGGAGTTTGCATGTTCTTCCCATGCTAGCTCTGGTTTCCCCTACCACTAAAAAAAGTACAATAGGCAAAATGCACCAGCTATGGTAAACTTTACCAAGCAGAGCTTTAATATCTGGAGATGATCCCCTCGTCTGGCGTTTTACTTTAAATTTGACTATGGGTCAAATGCAGAGTATACATTTTCCTCCAGAAACAACAAAGTAAAACTTAGCAACAAAAAAAACAGTAAATTAATATTTAAAACTTTGATTTTTCCCAAAAAATCTCTTTGATCATTTGCTGGACCCCAGGTGGTTACTGTATCGCGATTGCAAAAGTAACACAAGTGATCATCTATGCGAGGAGTGTAAAACTGGCTCCAGAAAAGTGCAGGTTTTCATTCCAACAAAGCTGAGGCACAGTAGACTCCACCCATTTCCTCAAGTCTTCAGGTCAAGACTGGAGTCACCTGAGGAAATGGAGTCTGGTGAGCTCCTGCTTGGTTGGAATTAAATCCTGCAGCCGCACTGGCTCTTTGAGTCCCAGTTTCACATCTTGATCTAAGCTTTAAACTAGTAAACGCTCAATCACAGTAAAACAATCCTTTGATATTGTATAACCACTTGCCTGACTGGATAGTAAGCGGACTTCTTCCAGAATGGAGCCAACAGGCCGACTCCTCTCTCGTCCCCGAGTGAACGGCACTATGCAGTAGCTGCACATGTTGTCGCAGCCTCGCATTATAGAGCTGCACACAAAAAGACATTTGTGTTTCATTTAAAGACCCCACAAGGTAAACAAATATTCTTGGTTTCAGTGTCACTCACACAAAAGCACTGTAACCCTGAGGCGCGTACTGGACAGGCATAACATCTGCATAGGTCTCCTCCAGCGACAGCAGAACATTACTGGCCTGCTGACCCCCATCCGCCACAGACAGGAGTCGAGGGAGGTCCCGGTAAGCATCTGGACCAGCCAGAATGTCCACTAGCTTCTCTTTTTCCAAGATCTCAGTCTTCAGTCTCTCAGCCATACAACCTTTGCATCGTTTTAGTTAGTGCATGTTTACTTCTTATATATTGATTTTTAACATACCTAAAATCCCAATTTTCAACGGGAGAGGGCTCCTTAAGCGTTTTTTCTTCATGGCTTTAAGCTGTTGAAGTCTATTCCATATAGTCAGTTCTGCCTTTTCCCTGTACAAGAAAAAAGACACAAAATCCCCTAATGAGAAATAATACAAAAACATGACAGCCAGGATAAGTATGAAATGTGTCTATGTAATTGGTTTATTGATGAGTGACCCGTCTCTCACCTGATAGAGCAGGTGACCAGTAGAACGACATCTGCCTGTGCAAAGGAAGCAATTAAAACGTGTTTAACATGAGCAGACGTGGATGACAGTGACAGCTACACACTTGGGAGATGCTTTGAGTCCGTTGGTATCCACTCTTCTGTAATATTGACATGGCGATGTCTGTGTCACTCACATTCATTTGGCAGCCATACGTTTCAAAGTACACTGTATATAACACAAAGGAGTTACTTTTGCTCTAGATTAAAAACCAATTTGTTAAAGAAGCAAGTTATAAGCAAACCTTTGCTTGACTTCGCCTTGTTGACATCATACACGTAGCTCACGTCCTCTGGTTCTTCGTCCAGTGCAGTTGTTGTGGGTTTGATCGGTGAGACTTCCCGAATGAAATCAGGAAACCTCGGGCCCTTTGCCAGATCATCTCTGAGTTTCTCTATGGACCTTTTTCTCTGTGACTTGAGGACTGCAGCAGAGGAACACTGTCTGCTCTGTGAGTGCAGGACGGACGACAACAGTCTGGACATCCGACACAAGAGTCTGACCGCTCCTAATCCTTCCATCACATTTACCCAGACTTTAGTTTAGAAAGAGCATGAGTGTAGATCCCGGTGGCTTACATGCATGTGTCTCATAGATCCATGCATGTGTCTTATAGATCCATGTGCTCAGGCCCGTCCCAAGGAGGGTGCGAGGCCCTGTGCGAACTCGAAACGCGAGGCCCTGCCCTGACACTTTTTTCCCAGATCTGAGGAAAGTTTTTCCTGTTATAATCTTTGACATGAATTCAGCACCACCTCGCGCGGTGCTTGACGAGATCAGCACGCGTGTAACCGAGTGTCTTCGCTCCTATGCAGCGTTTGGCGCGCGCACGTACACACGCACACACACTCTACGTGCAATATTGGTCGCGGTCTTTTTAGCTGACATGTCTCTTTCGTCCTGTGGCAAAATGGTAGAGCAACTCAAAAGATTGAACCAAAAGGAGTCTTTTTCTTCTAATAGTTAGATTTTGGCAAAATGCGCCAAAATGGCTATGAGGCGGAGTCAATATTATTTTTTTCTCATCAAATAACGTTTTTGCCATGCCTCCACACACTCTGACAACATACACTCCTCCTCCTCCACACTGACAACAACAAAATACTCTTCACCTCCTCCTCCACACACTCTGACCACAACAAAAACACTCCAGCTAGCTAAAGCTAGACATACAGTGTGTTTGCTAATGCTTTTAAAAATATGTTTTTGATGTGGATATTCGGACTAAACATTGGCAATAGCAGCGCTCACACACCTGTCACACCGCTGATCCTCCTCCTCCTCCTCTGCTCACACAAAGGGGTCTGCTCCTCTGCTCACACCTGTCTCACTGCTCCTCCTCCGCGAGTATCCATCTCTCCTACACTGCGATCATTCCCGTTACTTTCTTTGTATCTCACTCAGACACTGCTAAAGTTATCTGACAGTTTTTTCGGAGGACCCGTTGCATACATAGCTGCCCGCGCGCCTGCCTGTTTACAAATCGCTTTTGGTGAAAATTTGACTTTACTTGTAAAAATGTTCTTTTGATCAAACGAAATCAAAGAGGTCCAGAGAAAGGGGTTTAGGGTTCCAAATTTGGAGTGCAGTCTGCCCTTTGGGGACCCTTGAACTAGTGTATTTATAAAATAAAATAAAAGGAAGGAAGATTGCGAGGCCCCTGTGTGGTGCGAGGCCCTGTGCGACGGCACAGGTCGCACAGCCCTTAGGACGGGCCTGCATGTGCTTCTCCTTACGGGTGTTTTGAAAGTCACTCAGGCGCGTGTTGATGGTAGGTCCCGGGATCTATTACGTCATAGTTAATGAGAGCTTTGTCGCCGCCTTCTGCTCTGGCATGCCATAGTAAATATGTGTTCATATTAATATATACAGTCTATGGTTCATACAGTCTATGGTTCATACAAAGGGCAACTCAAAGGGCTTAACAAAACAAGATAAGAAACACAAAAATCACACAAGGTATTTAAATCATAAATCATAACAGTGCATTCAATATAGTGAAGATATATGCACAGCTAAACAGAACTGTTTTATTATCCTTGTCAGGGAAGAAGCTTGTCTCACATTTTCAGGAAGACTGTTCCAGATTTTTAGCTGCATAAATTTGAAGTGCTGCCTCCCTATGGGCATAAGCAGGAGGCTGTCAGTGACAAGGACTTTGATTTCGACCAAAAATATTGTATGAGAGCACGTGTACATCTGTGGATGGAGAACTTTCTAATTAAGATGAAAACAATTACAGGAAGGATATTGTTTGTCAATGAGATCTTCAAATTACAAAAGGTATTGTAAAAGGGTTGTTTATGCTCTTGTCTTAATCTTGAATTATTGCATACTCTCTAAATATTATACTCAATTGGACCGAAACTTTTCAACAGTCTTATTGTTAAAAAAAAAAAATTCAGATTCTTAAAAGTGTCTTCATTACAAGGTATTTACAGTCTATGAGTACAATGTTTGTCAATGTCAGTGAAAGTGGAGACTAAACGATACTATACTTAATATGCACTTATCTTGTGCTGTGTGCTCCACATTTCTACTGTTCTGTCACTTGTGATGCAACACTGAAATTTCCCCACTGTGGGACGAATGTAGGATCTCATAAACACTGTAAAGAGTCTCCCCGAACAGAGACTTAAAGCAATGTTTCTTTTTATGTGTATTTTTCTTTTATTTCATTTTTTTCTCGTTTTAAGAATAGAGCGAATATTACTCTGTTTTTAAATAATACCTCCATGTTTCTAAGTCGCTGGATTCATATTTTCATTATTTTGCAGTGAGGGCTTGTAAGTACCATGCAGCACCAGCAGAGGGCAGCAGGCGCAGAGACCCACGCCGGATGCGGCTGTTGCAGGGGTAGATGTTGAGGGGATCTTCATCATCTTCATTCAGATGTTTACCTGAGCTGCACAGGGTCTGGCTCATGAAAGCAAGTGTTTGTTCAGTGTGGGGGGAGCTGTCATCCGAATGCACCGGGGCCTGTCTGTGTGCCATAGGTAATGAACGACGAGATAGCATCGGACAGCTGGAAGAGAAACTCCGGGTGCTCCAGGTAGGCTAAGCTACGAGCTAAAGGGCGATGGGGGCGGTGGAGTTTCAATGTGTTCAATGTAATGTTATTATTGCACTCAGAGCACTCTGCTGCTCTGTTCTGGCTCTTGCTATCTAAATTACTGTTATATCAATGGTTTCAGCAGAATTCTCTGCGATCACATATACTGGTGTAGGTTTCTGCACCAAGAACACAAACTATTTATGCACCCACTTTTATTATCTCTCAAAGCAAAGTAGTTTGTTTGAGCGTGACGTATTGTTAAGTTTTGCGTTGCAGCTGAGTGTTACCTCTGTGAGTGCGAGTGTCTTTTGACTCTCAATAAAGTTGAATTAAATTGCACGTCCCTCTAATTACTTTGTTTTTTAACTAATCTACAATGGCATAACTGGACTTTCTTTAACAAGTATTGAGCAAATGCTGGCATTGAATCCGGGGAAGACGCCCATCAGTCTGCTGCAGGAGTATGGAACGCGGATAGGCAAGACCCCAGTGTACGACCTGCTGAAGGCCGAGGGACAGGCCCACCAGCCGAACTTCACATTCAGAGTGTCCGTGGGGGAAATCAGCTGCACTGGTCAAGGGCCCAGCAAGAAGGCCGCCAAGCATAAAGCAGCCGAGGCTGCTCTTAAGATGCTCAAGGGAGGTCTCTGTGGTCCCATCGGAGTGAGCGCCGAAGCAGACGGATTCATCAGTGTTGATGTGGCAGTGGATGGAGACAGGTCAGGACATAGTTGTTTTTAATTAAACAGCTGTTGCAATTCTTACATTCAATAAATTATGCAAATGTTATTGGACACATTTCTCAACCAAAGCTGCTGTTGTTTGTCCCTGCAGCTCTCCCTCTGATATGAAGACTTCTAATTCTCAGCAGTCTGAGTGTAATCCTGTAGGAGCACTGCAGGTGTGTACAAAGCTTCTCTTACACAGTTTACTGGTGTAACGTGTAATGTTTTGTCGTAAAGTGAAATGTTCCTGTATTTTTGAGCAGGAGCTGGTTGTGCAGAAAGGATGGCGTTTGCCAGAGTACACAGTCACCCAGGAGTCTGGACCCGCCCATCGCAAGGAGTTCACAATGACATGCAGAGTAGAGAGATTCATGGAAATAGGTGTGGAGTGGACGAATACATACACTTTCTGTTTGTGTTTGATGCATGCACATGATAGTTTCCCCATTTTGGGGAAAGGACTTTTCTTGTAGAACTTTGATGTGGATGTTGTGAAACTATTTTTTTTTTTTCCAGCCATCATAAAAAGGATTGACTGTTATTGACTACTATTGACATTTTGTATTTTTTGTAAAAACGTTGTAATTAAAAATATTGGGTCATAGTGAACCGCTTTTTTCCTGGCCATTATCTGGACCATTTCATAACTCTAATGTTACTACTATACTTGCATTGCTCTTAATGGTATTTGCACCTTCACCAGGCAGCGGTACATCAAAAAAACTGGCCAAGAGAAACGCTGCAGCAAAGATGTTGTCAAGAATTCATGATGTCCCTGTTGACTTGAGAAGCAGCAATGAAGCAGATGCAGAGGAGGACACGTTTACATTGGTAAGAAAATGGCAACACATTACAAGGTTAAGCCAAACCCTAACCATGACCATTTGTAATGCCTATAAGTAATGGGGAAATGCATTTGTTCTATAACTGCACTAACTGTAGAGTTTTTGAGCCAGATCACAAAATATTATTCATATCATTCATATTAATGTAAATAAAATGCATGTTAGACTTTAACTTTAATGAACTGGTTTTGTCACATTTTGTAAATTTCTCCATTGAGAGATCAATAAAGTGTTTCTAATCTTATAAATCAAAGACATCTGTTATTACTGTCTCTTTAATACAATATTAAACCACGTTAAATTATCTTTTTTTTTACATGCACTATTGGCTTAACTAATAATTTAATACATTTTTATTTCACTCCTTTTTGATTTATGGGGAGACTTTTGAGAGGTCAAATGGCTTTAACTAAGGTGGATACCAATCAGATTATACTTTTTTTATTTTGTTCTTGTCCTTCCATGAAGCACATGGGGAGTAGAGCGGAGTCTGGTAAGAGTAAGAGCTTCAGCTGCACCTGGGACTCACTGCGGAACTCTGCTGGAGAGAAGATCCTGCAGCTGCGCAGCCATCCTCTGGGGATTCCCTCCGACTCCAACTTCTGTTCCCTTCTCACAGAGCTGTCCACGGAGCAGCGCTTTGACGTTAGTTACCTCGATCTAGGTACGACAGCCCACTAATGTTGATTCTCCATAAAACCTGCAAACTGCGTTAATATTCATCAAGTATATATAATTGTAGTTCTGAACGTCCACTTTGTAGGGTCTGTCATTCACTTGGAGTTATTGCTTTGCCTGGAAAGCCACAGAGTATTACTAAACAGTGCTTACAGAGTTCATTTCATTAAATCAATTACACTCCCAAAAAAAGCATAGTTTTCATCATCACCTCAGTCATGGCACATATTGTATTTCTTCTGAAAGGGTGTTGACAAGAATTTGTAGGAAACTAAAGATATTTCCACACACTATGAATGTGTCAGGATGCATATTTGTAGCGTCAAATAAATTATCGCTCTTTTTTTTTTTCCCAGAAGAGCGAAGTCTGAGTGGCCTCTGTCAGTGTCTGGTGGAGCTGTCTACTCAGCCAATCACAGTCTGTCATGGCTTTGCACCAAGTGTGGATGATGCTCGAGCTAATGCTGCCTACAATGCTCTTCAATACCTCAAAATTATGGCTGGAGCTAAATGAGTGCTGTCTTGAGACTCTGGAGGATAGAATCCAGTACATTTCCTTGGAATACCTTCATATGGACCGGTGTGCCTCGGGCTTGCACGATCTTAATGTTTTTTTACATGACATTTCTGAAATACCTCAATTTTAATTCTATTGACATGAGTCTTGGCGGCGCAATAATGAGTCTTTTTGCCAAAAAATATATTTTTTTTATCATCATAATAATCGGGAACATGGCCAGTGATATCTCCAGGACTCTCCAGATGCTGGATATCAAACAATTTAAAGGCATCCTCTTCCTCAATGAGCCACAAGAAGAGGATTTAAATTATAATTGGTATTCATTTTTTGTACATCAAACCAAAAACTCACTGTGATTTTAGGTTACATTCACATGTAATGGATTTTACGTTCTTATGTACATATATTACTAAAACATGATTATGTCACTTGAACTTATTTTGTCAGTGGAAATAAATATCAACGGTTGTTTTGTTGACAAAACCAGCTTTTGACAAAAATCTCCTGTTTTATTCATTTAACATTTTAAATGAATATTTCTTGATATTCAAGCTTTGTTGGTATATCAGACAAAATCAGTGTGGGGGCGATAGTCGCTCAGTTGGTAGACCTTTGAGCCCAAAGGTCGTGGGTTCAAGCCCAACATGAGACATTCCAACTCCTGCTGATGTCTGCTGTTCTTGTGTCCTTGGGCATGACACTAAACCCCCCCCATTGCCTGAAAGATCATGGCTGTGTGTGTCACTGACTCAACAGCCGTCCTCCTGTGGACTCACCACTGCAGGGGGATCAGTGAGAGGCTGGTGCTCTAACCCAGAATAAGGGGAAGAACATGGATGGACGGAAAATCTGTGCCCAGGGTTTCCTAAATTGTCACTTTTTACAGTAGTTTTATTATTACAGTGAATATTTTAACCCACAGAGCAAATGACACAATTGTCTACAGAACGTGAATTACACATGTTTTAAATAATCAACTTTATATAATTGAACTGATTTAGAACTTATTTCAATAAGCCCATGTTCAAGATTGTTAAATCCGTTTACTTTATTTCAGCGTGTAGAGTGTGAAATTGTGTGATGCGTTCGCTCGAGGGCAGCATTGAGCAGCACGTGTGCAGTAGGATCTGTTATCTTTGTTCCTGTTCTTCATCGGCCTTATTTTCATGAGACACACACAACATGGCCTCGGATACGGATTCCTCGCGTGTGTTGGACTATTTAATGCAAGTTGAAGTGGCTGCTGAAGACGTTCTCACCACAAAACAACAGGTCACCCACTTGTCTTTGTGTTTGGAAAGCATAACGGGAGAACCCGTTAATATCACATCGGTCATGCTCACAATGCTAATGCTAATGTTATGCTAATGTGCTAAGGCTGACAGGCCAGCCTCTTCTGTTGATTTAACAAATATACGAAAGAAATTAAATCAACAGTAAAGGTATTGGTATTGTTCGTCAGATTGTCGATCTGGACATGAAAAGAAACCAGAACAGAGAGGCCCTGAATGCACTGCGACACGATGTGTGCAACACTGGTAAGTGAAAACAAAGTATCTGTGTTCTTCAAACAACAGTTCAGATTTTGTTCACATCAGTAATTTTACCCCCATTATAGGCAAAGTAAAAGTTTGTTTTGGGAACGTCTTCATAAAATTCCCTGTGAACAAAACAGCAGAGATGATTCAAAGAGGTACAACATAACCATATCATATCATTCTCCTGTTTAAGCATAATCTAAGTGTTGTTTGCAGATCAGGAGCGGCTTGACAAAGAAATCAACAATCTTCGTAAAGAACTCAAAGCCAAAGTCAACCACCTGAATGATGTTCAAGGTAAAACAATGCAGTCCATTTGTGCAATGCTTACAGTTAGGGCTGGGCAGTCTGGCAAAAAATCACAATTTTGTTTCCTCATAATGATCAATCTAGTTATTATTGAAATGTTGAGCTATTCAATTAGGTGTATTTTCGCATAGCTTTATTCACAACAGCAGTCGTCCCGGAGGAGTTTACAAAGTTGTAGATTCTTCCAAAGAGAATGTGAGAGTCAGTGAATAAAACAGTTCGAACACACAGGAAATGCAATAACAACACATAGGAGCCTTGGTCACAACACATAGCAAACAGCCCAGCGGGGACTGGGATGACCAATGTCCGTGAATGTTAATAAATGTGCATAAATGTAGTTTCCAATCCCCATTCTTTCTCATTGACAAACAAACCACATAGATTGCATCTCCACATTTCTGTGGCCTTTACCTGAAGTTTGCATATGTGCAAACCACCACTTGCCTGCCATGCGGATCAGGCTGAATCAGTATTTCTGTTATGTGTGCAACCTGCCTGACTTTGGCTTACAGAAGGTCAATTATTGCAGCAGGACATCCAACTTAATTATATATTTTCCCACGGACAGGAGCAAACACTTGACGATTAGATTATATTGTGTATTTTTAAGGACAACATTGTGAAAGGCAAATAAAAGGGTAAAGGTCCCAGGCTTCATAAACAGTTTAAGATAAAGAACAACAAGTCCTCTTCATGTCAGCCCCATGATTGTAGTCTCTCAGCTTTAATCCAAGTTCAGAGTTGTGCTTGTGGTTGTGATTCTTGGCTCAGCCCTACTTAAAATAGCCATTGATGCAATGTTCCAATGTGTGAGTGACTGAAAGTATAATGATTTTAGAATATTTTGTAGATGTAATCATGTTTTGATATTCATGGATTTAAAAAAAGATACATTTAAATCTTTTTTTTTTCATTATTTCTTATAACAACCTGCTCATACTAAGTGTAAATTTGCATGTATGCCATAGTCTGCATCAGCAGGAGCATCATTAACAGCACCATTAATGTTTTTTTTGTGCAATTGTGCAATCATATTATTTAAAGTGTTCTGTTAATTGCTGAGTCGATGTGTGAAGCTGCTTTTGCATCTGTTTTTATGATTAAGTAATGCAGCAATTTTTACTTTGCAAAACTATGTTGAAGGGTGGGGGTAGGTTTCCTCAGGTGCTCTGGTTTTCCCTATCAGTAAAAACATGAAAAATAGTTCAAGGTGAATAAGTGAGTGGTTTTTAAGTATGACTGTGGGACAACAGAGGGAAGTTAGGCCAAGGTACAATCTGATGTATTCTTGACACTGCTGTTCATTAATAAGTACTGTCTCATACAAATAAATACTGTATTTGTGTTTGCAGGAAAGCCAGAGCTGAGAGGCTACAGCCTTACAGCCCTGTCCCCTGAAGAACTTAAAAGTATCAACAACCTTTTGAAGAGATGATCTCTTCTTTTTTTTTTTAATGTATATATATGTAAATCTATTGGATATTTCTGTGTTATTATGGCAAACAGTTTATAATATTTCCCATTAATTAAAAGATACGTTTTTGGAAATGTTTGTCTAATTGTTACAAGGCTCTGACAAACACTTGATTATGTGTCCTATGATCAGACCCTGGTTATTTGAAACTTTCTCTCATATCACTGGTCTGCCAAGCTGCGGGTCAGACCCTCTGATGATTCCAGTTCCCACAGATGAGTGGTGGCATTGTGTTCAAAGCATGTACTCTGGGTCTTTAATTTGAATGTTGTCGATATATAAACATGTTGGGGGAGGACTGCCCAAGATCATGGATCCTAAGGTAAATTAGGATCCCATAAACTCTGTTTTGATTATATAGATAACTGTCACAGCCGAATTTTCTGATTTTTGATCAGTAAACCTCTTGGTATCTACAAACAACTGTGACATTTAAATGTCCTTCAACACTTGTTAAGTGCATAAATAGTACGAATTCAAATAATAAACAGGAACAAACTGCACGCTCTGCTATTCTTGCGGTCATAAAGATCTGACCAGACGTGCGCACAAACTGGGAATAAAACTAGTTTATCACAGTAAAGACCACGTTCTTCAACTCAATAAGGTTATAATAACACACTTGTATTATACACAGACATAACAACACATCCTTCCCAGGCATCATACATCTTTATAAGGAGCGCTCCTTTGAGTTGACTCCCATGGTTTCACTTGTTGATCTGCCACAGTTGATTCAGACATACCAACTTCCTTTGTCACGTCTCAACAAATAAACAAGTGTTTTTTCCAAAGGCAGTTTGACAGTACAAATGTATATGTAGTTATGTGTGCGTGAGCGAACTTGAAGCGCCCGCGGGAAAAAAACAGGCGGCTGGGGGACAGTCTGTGTGCGTGTGCGTGTGCGCATGCATGAGTGTTCTTGTGTGTGAGTGTGCGCGCGTGCGTGTGCGTGGGTGGGTGAGCAGCGCTCCGGAACTTGGTTGCGTGCCACCGTACTAAGGATCTGGAGCTTATTCTTAATGATGAGCCAATGAGTCAAGGCTGAAACCTGCTGATGGTTGAGAAGTGTCCTTTAAGTGCAAGTTCCTCAGTCAGATAAAGCACGTGCGCTATTAAGGCATTTCCGGTGAAAGGATGATGCACCTCAATCCGGACCAGACCGCTGTAGTCTAGTTTGTCTCAGGTTTTTGTTTTCGCCTTTTTTGTGTCTATCACAAATATATATGAGTCATGGGCTATCAATCCTTTTCACCAAGGGCCTATATTCATAAAAATGACTTTCTGATCACGAGAGCCTATACGTCATTTGAAGATGACAAAAATTAAAATACTTTTTATGCGTTCACATGGACGTTATGGGCTGGTTAACTGGAAGAAATGCAACAGTCAAAGTAATTGGACTGTTTCATAAGAAGTCAACTGAGAAGGGGCTACTGGGCCTGTGTGCTTTTTTTTCGTGGTTTGACATTGACATTTTTGCCCCAAGTGAACCAATTCAAGTTACCTCTGGTTCTAGTTTAGTGTACTGTCCCACAGGATAATATTCTGTCTGGTCTCTAACGTGCTCCATATTCTTCTTAGTAAATGTTTTCCATGTTTTTATTGTGTCCCTGTGCAAAAATACAGTGCCTTGCGAAAGTATTCGGCCCCCTTGAACCTTCAACATTTCTACACATTTCAGGCTTCAAACATAAAGATATAAAATTTTAATTTGTTGTCATGAATCAACAACAAGTGGGCCACAATCGTGAAGTGGAACAAAATTCATTGGATAATTTATACTTTTTTAACAAATAAAAAACTGAAAAGTGGGGCGTGCAATATTATTCGGCCCCTTTACTTTCAGTGCAGCAAACTCACTCCAGAAGTTCAGTGAGGATCTTTGAATGATCCAATGTTGTCCTAAATGACTGATGATGATAAATAGAATGCACCTGTGTGTAATCAAGTCTCCATATAAAGGCCCATGATCACTCTGGATGAACTGCAGATAACTACAGCTGAGGTGGGAGAGTCTGTCCATAGGACAACAATCAGTCGTGCACTGCACAAATCTGGCCTTTATGGAAGAGTGGCAAGAAGAAAGCCATTTCTCAAAGATATCCATAAAAAGCCTCGTTTAAAGTTTGCCACAAGCCACCTGGGAGACACACCAAACATGTGGAAGAAGGTGCTCTGGTCAGATGAAACCAAAATCAAACTTTTTGGCCACAATGCAAAACAATATGTTTGGTATAAAAGCAACACAGCTCATCACCCTGAACACACCATCCCCACTGTCAAACATGGTGGTGGCAGCATCATGGTTTGGGCCTGCTTTTCTTCAGCAGGGACAGGGAAGATGGCTAAAATTGATGGGAAGATGGATGGAGCCAAATACAGGACCATTCTGGAATAAAACCTGTTGGAGTCTGCAAAAGACCTGAGACTGGGACGGAGATTTATCTTCCAACAGGACAATGATCCAAAACATAAAGCCAAATCTACAATGGAATGGTTCACAAATAGACGTATCCAGGTGTTAGAATGGCCAAGTCAAAGTCCAGACCTGAATCCAATCGAGAATCTGTGGAAAGAGCTGAAGACTGCTGTTCACAAACGCTCTTCATCCAACCTCACTGAGCTCGAGCTGTTTTTCAAGGAAGAATGGGCAAGAATTCCAGTCTCTCGATGTGCAAAACTGATAGAGACATACCCCAAGCGACTTGCAGCTGTAATTGCAGCAAAAGGTGGCGCTACAAAGTATTAGCGCAAAGGGGCCGAATAATATTGCACGCCCCACTTTTCAGTTTTTTATTTGTTAAAAAAGTTTAAATTATCCAATAAATTTCGTTCCACTTCACGATTGTGTACCACTTGTTGTTGATTCTTGACAAAAAAAATAATTTTTATATCTTTATGTTTGAAGCCTGAAATGTGGCGAAATGTTGAAAGGTTCAAGGGGGCCGAATACTTTCACTGTATATGTGTTTGCGTGCATGAGTGAAAGTGATATTGTTTGTGGGTGGTTCTGTTGGGTGGGTTAACAGGTCAATGGACATTGTTTTTTATCGCTTGTAAAGCACTGTGTATCGTATTTGTTATATGAAAAGATTTTTTAGCTAAAACTTTATTTGATTCTTTGATTTGATACAATTGAGCTAACCAAAGTAGATTCTCCCAATGTCCTTCTGTTCTAAAAAAAAAAAAAAAAACAAGAACCAAGAATGTCGAGTCTAAAGAGTAGACGGGAGAATATTAGCTTGTGATGTACGCCACAAGTCATCGGGCCCAGACGTTCATCCCTAGAGTTCCTTCTTTCTTCCTCAACCAAATAGTTATTATGTGTTAGTTATACGTCTTACTCTTCTGGTGTTTCGATTCAACATCCAGACAGATAAAAAACACACCCTTTAACCAGGGGTCTGTATAATAAAGAAACACACCCTTTAGGGGTCTGTATAGTTTCAGTAAAGCCTAAAAAAGAAATTAAGTGTATAAATAAGTGAGTGTGTTGGTCCGTGTTCTTGTAAAGCCAAACCATCTGGACACTAAACAGAATGTTAATTGTGTTGAATCACATGTTTTAGTTCTACTTCAAAGACCTAAGGATTTCTGGAAAGTCTGTCCATTCCGACCTTATCACTCAGCACAAACTTGTCCATTAGGTGTAAGAACAAGGCCTCAGTCCCCGGTCTTCAGCTCGTCTTCTGCTCAGCAGGAGAACAACATTCAGCAGGAGCTGTTGAGTCACAAAACATTTATTCTCAGATGGAGCAGAGCCAGCAGTAATGATTAGTCAGCCACACCTGACTGTTTGTGTCAACATTCAGCTGGGACGCTCTGCTCACAACAACACATGTTATACAATTGTACGGTTTTTATGTTTGTATAGAAGCCTGGAGAAGCGCTGTTTGGTGAAATTAAGACATGGATAGACTGACATTTTGTTTTACAATTAATTACCAATGCACCCTGTAAATGGAATTATAATGGCTCTCTTCTTTGTGTTGTTCTGATCTGTTGCACTATCTCTGTGGGGCATGTTGAGTTGCTGGCTTGTGTTTCACAACAAGACAGTCCTTGGTTCAATTCCACCTCCAGACATTTCTGTGTAGAGTTTGCATGCTCCCCTCATGTCTGCGTACGCTTCCTCCAGGTGCTCCAGTGTCCCCAGTTTGACATCTAAAAGCATGTACAGAAGGTCTCAATGTAATGCCGTTATTTTTTTCTAGTTAATTGAACCCTGCGGCTTACATTGCGATGTGGCTGTGCGTATTTTTATTACATCTGTACTTGCTAAGAAGTACAGATGATGGGTGAGAAACCTTCCTTTGCTTTAGGACTCTTGTTTATTGTCAAAATAGGCAGATGAGGATATAGGATAGAATGAATACTAGCAAGGAAGCTAACGGTTACACCTCGTCATTAAAAATCAAGTTGTGACCAGTTAAAGCAGTTGTCTATCTGTTACAACATGAAAACCAGCAGCTTATATTCGAGTCTGGTCTATATGTTTACTTACAGGTGAGCCTTATAGTCCAGAAAGTATGGCACACACTTACTTTAAATGTGTTCATGTTTTCAATGGACTTTTGCTGAGCACATTGGATTGAATTGTATATGTGCTCCACTAATAAATGTATTGTTAATATTAGTTTTTTTGTTCAGACAGAAATCTGCAAAACTCCATCCACTGCATCCACTGCATCATAACAGCATTCCTTTACAGAGAGGAGAGTCCAGAATGTTACCTATATGACTTTGCTCATGTACTTTTCTTGTTCCTTGTTCCTCCGGTGAGCTCCTGGCTTGACCCGAGCTTCAGAAGAACCTCTGCCTCCCACATCTGCACACACTTTACTCCCGGAAGAATCCTGTGAGAGAAGGGCTAGAGTGGCCCCACACTGGATTGGAATACACATGTGTCATACGTTTTTTGATTTACAGTTTCATTAACATCACTTACGGTAATGTTCAACTCATCTAAATAGTAATTTATTCATTTACTTTACAAATTCTGAGACTGAAAAGTTTTTATGTTATTTAAACATTCTTTTCATCTCTAATTTCCAACCATAAAGCAGAAAGAGCCTTAAATTCTCTCATATGATTTTGTTAATGCTATTTTCAAAATTGTTGGATTGTCAATTTGACAGCTTTTACTAATTTTTTTGTGTTCTAGCTCCCAGAGCAGTCATTTATTTAACATTCATATATATATATATATATATATATATATATATATATATATATATACACATATATACACATTTGTACATATGTGTAGCTACATACTGTATCTATCTACATGTATCTTGTTACTATAGAAACACACTGTTTACTTGCCAGAAGTTCATCCTTTCATCAAACTGTTTTTGCTGTATTTCAAGCACTCACCAGTTTTTGCACTTATTAAAAGTGAGCAAAGATAAAACCCTTAAAGTTACTTACTTTAATATGGAAAAGTAACTTTGTGGGGAATTTCTATAATTCAATACATTTGAATGGGAACAGTCAAAATGTCAGCTCTGACCTAACCCTAACCCTAACCCAGGCCTAGTGTTAAAGGAACTGTTCTATTACTTAGATTATATTAACATTCATTAACATCAACATTAATACTATTTCCTGGTTACTGGTTCCTGTGGACTCACCACCTGCAGGAGGATCAGTGAGCATCTGGTGCAATGTGAATTGGGTGCAGCTCTGACCCCCGCTCTCGTAGACCTCCGCCGAGAAGTGCAGCTCCATTCCTTTGAAAAAACAATCCTGCATCCAGACAGTGACTGGGACCACCTCCAGAATTGAATCAGTCGTTCACTGGGCCATCCACATCCTCTCATAACTTTGCTCAAAGACAGACACTTTACCCTCTGGAAGGATAGTCACACTTTATATGTTTGAAGAGATTCTGAAGGTGCCGTAGTATTTAGCAATGCAGTATTGTAGAACCTGATTTAAACCTACAAAATCCATCCTGCTGATGGCTGGATCCTTCTCTAGACAGTTGAGTAGCAAAGAAGTGTGAAGACAGATATTATTAGGCATGTAGATTCTGCCCCTGTTTGCAAAATCAACCATGAGAAAATATAGGCCGGTCCAAAACTACAGAAAATCTTTGGTAAATTAACAGAAGTGCATAGCTGGACACAGATTACAGCTTTAAAGCTCAGGTCCTCATAGCTCTTCTGGAAGTCACAGCATTGACCTTTAAGTCCCAGACAGCACTATATTTCAGGGTCTGCCCGACTGATGTGTCAAAAGGACTGGAACGGCTCAAGATGAAAACAATCCTAACGCTAACATTATACATTATGGAGCTTGTTAATTCTCACAGCTGTTTAGTTGCCGAATGTATGCTCAGGTTGGAGATAAAAAAGTACAACTTGAGAACTTCAAGAAATAAGAGCAAAACGTTGTGATGGATAGTTTCCGTTTCTCTCCTTTAGGAATCTTTAAAAAAAATACTTGTTGCTCACCTGCAAAGTTATATCACAGAGTTCAGGTTCAGGTCACAGCTGGGCCACTCTTCAACTGCTTTTCCCATGGACACATTCTCTTTAATCATATTCATATTACATATTGCAAAGGGGTTATTGCGCATTTAAATGCCAATTGTGACTGAAAAAGGGTGTTTTTGTTTTTTAATCTGATAGGCATATGTATATAGTCTTTGAGTGTCCAAAAAAGTGCCATATAAGTTTGATGCATTATTATTATTATTATTATAGTGGAAACCAGCATTTTTTTTCAAAGGAAATAAATGTCAATTTTAAAACAATTGTTCAAAATGCAAACCCATATGCGTCATGAAATATACTAAAAGAAAATGGTTTAAGCATATATTTGCATTGTAGTGAAGTATGGCCAAGGCAGGAAAAGTCTGTGGTGAATGTGACAATAAAACTGTCAGGACCATTAGAGTTCTTTGGCTCAACGTGTTCTTCTTCATCACATTCCAAAATATATCATTTTTTTTCTTCTTCTAGCTGCTCCCAAACCTCCTGGTAAATTGGCCTACATTGAGTACATTTTGAAAATAATCTTCTGCTATCCCATTCTTATTAGGCTGAATGAAGGCGTGCTATACTTAAAAATGCTACTTTTTTAAATGATCGGTTTGTGGCTCTCTGCTTTACTTAACCAGGAAACTCCCACTCAGATTTTCTTTTCAAGGGTGTCCTGGACCCAAAGAGAAAGGGGGATTTGGGGCTGGGGTGGGTGTTACGGGGGACTATTGTATGTGTTATTAGTTTAAGGGAGCACCCAGAGGAAACCTATGCAGAAAGGTCTGGAGGAGGAACCGAACCCAGGACCTTCTTGCTGCGCAGCGTTAATCACTGTGCTGCATGTAGACAAAGTGTGTTGACTTGCTATCCGACTCCCATATTGCATAATAAACTCCTGACCATTTCATTTTTTATTAATAATTGAATCAAATAATTAAATAATTCTAATATTCATACATTCATACATCTGACGGATAAAACAGACCAAGTGACAAGTGTCTTTGGGAACAACTGAAGGATTGCATTTTCACCATATTCAATGTACTGTGATTATTTATGATTTTAATGCCATGTGTGATTGTTTCTATCATGTTTTGTTCAACACTTTGAGTTGCCTTGTGTATGAACTGTGCTATGCAAATAAACCTGCCTTGCCTTGGGTGAGATTTGCTTCAACACTCACCTACAGTATACACTGCAAAAATGATTACATATGAGATGATAATTGGTGGGTTTTATCTTAATTTGAGTACATTCTGACAGTCTTAAAACAAGATTTACCAATGGGACAAAGCCATTTAGTCTTTTTTCGAGAACTGTTGCTTTATTTTCTCCTTCCAATGGAGACATTTCTTGTATTTTTTTTAAAGCAAGATAATTTTGCTTGTCCGTGTGGAAATACTTGTTTAAGGCGGTCAAAATGTGCTCAAAATAAAACACATTTGTACTTAGTTTTCATTTCATATAATCTCACTTTTTGCAGTGTATACCTTAAAAACTTTCAAAGTGTGTATGTGATTGGTAAGGGGCCAATCATGGCACAGATCAGCCTGTTCTGTCAAGCTGAAGTATAGCTCAACAACATAGAATGCACTCCTAATACAAAGTATATATGTTTTTTTTTTTTGGATAAAGATAAAACATCCAGGTGTATGATCATGGGCATGCGGACAGCTTGATCTTCGCTGGTAACCAAACAGCTTCTTCAGGGCTAAGGTGACTGTCAGTGACTCCCAACAGCTATGTTTCATTTGAATATATTCAGTCTATATACTAAATACTAAATACTTAAACAATGTAAGGCTGGTTACTTGTACAAAACATAACCAGATAGTTCTTCACAATACAGAGTCCTTCCACACCAAAAAAGTATTTCTTAATACTTTTCTAAAACAGCTTGTTTTAGAATCCATGTTGTATGTCACAGGAAGTTGGTTTTAACACTTTTCTAACTTTTTAAAGATGTGTTGCAGGAGGGAGTTGAGGGCTGCTTCTCCAGAGGGCCTGTGTCAAGCAGACCCTGTAATCCCAAATCCCCCTGTGCACTCCCTCAGCAGTGCAGCAGAATAAACACATCCAGAGTTCAGCCTTGTCGTCCTTGTGCAACTCTCTTAACGCACAGAGCGCCTTCAGGCATCTCTCAAAGTCTATCACTTTGCGTCTCCTCTGCTTGTCCACTGTCCCGACCGGTTTGTTTTGTGTCTTTGTACAGACTTCAAAATGTGTGGAGTCTTTGCTGGCAAATCAACAGCCGTTCTCTGCTCCTGTAGGCCTCTCCGTCTGGAGAAAACAATATCCCGTGTCAGTCAAATAAACACCATGTATGTGAAATCTATGTTATAAACAAAGCTCCAGGCTGGTGCCGTCCTCACCTGGACATGCAGAAGCTGCTGCAGTGGACGTCAGAGGAATGTGAACAGACACAGCGCTTTCGAACCTCCGCAGAGCGCCTCAGCCTCCGATCGCCCTGATCGCTGGACAGGCCGTATGGAACAGTATGCCTGCAAGACGTGACTTTATTACACACTGAACACACACAATAAAATGGAAATTGAATTTGAATTGTTAAATGATTTAGATTCAATTATCAGCACAGCATTTTGCAAAATATCCGGTTTAAATGTGAAAATAACAATAAGACTTCAATGTAGGCCAAGGTTAACTTCAGAGAGGAAATATTCAATCTATGATTGTCATTGCACCGATGATAACTTTGATCAGCACTAGAGGTTGGATGTTCTATACTGTCATTATTATTATTGCACATCATGAGGAGCAGGTGAGGTGAAGTATTTGGTTTGCACGTCAGAATGACGTTTGTCAAGTAAGAAGGTCTTATTACATAGTTCATAGTTATTCCTGGCAACTATTGTATTATTTTTGTTCATATTTTTAAGAGTAGGCTCAAGACGCACCTTTTTAGAGCAGCTTTTGATTAGTATTTACTATCTATTATTGCTTTTTAGTACATCTTTTTATGTTTTTAGATGGATTATATTTTTATTTATTTTTATTATTTACTATTTTTAATTATTTATTGTATCTACCCATTTACTATTGTAATTATCAATATTAGGCAGCTGCCATTTTTCTTTTTATTTTCACATTTTATTGTTCTACTTTCTATTGTATTATTGTATTGTTTTAGTGTCCCCAGTGTTTCCTCTGGAGGAGCCCTCTGCACTGAGAGCTGGGGTCTGCTGTGGCTTCGGGGGACTGGCTCTTGGATCCGGTGGGGATCTGGGGCCTCCTCTCTCCTCTGGGTCCTATGGGGTCTGAGTCCTGGGCCTGGTGGGGTCTGGGGCCCCTCTCTCCTCTGGGTCCTGTGTCGTTGCCTGTGGCTGCAGCCGGCTCTCTGCTCCTGGTGCAGATGGCTCCTTGGATGACGCTTCTTCAGCCGGTTACATCTGCTCCCAGCCCCATGTCTTTTTATTGTTTTACCTATTTTACCTGATATGACTTTATACTTGTGTATATGTGTGTGTGTGTGTGTGTGTGGGTGTGTGTGTGTGCGTGTGTGTGTGTGTGGGTGTGTGTATTGTATATATAATTATAAATGTGGTTTTGGGGGGTCTGTGGGGAGGAGGGTTTAGGGCTGGGCATGTTGGATTGTTTTTAACTAAACTGTAAAGCACTTTGTGTTTTTTGTATGAAAAGCGCTTTATAAATAAAATTTGATTGATTGATTGATTGATTGATTTTACTACATAATTTACTTTGAGACATGGTTCCCAAATATACCACAAAAACCCAGAAAACAAAAAAACAAAAAAAAGTATAGAGAACGTCTTACAGGTATTTGAATATCACCTCATTTATATTAATATATACCGTGTTCATTAGTAAAATAAATTGCTAAATAGAATTCTCTAACATTACATTGCAAAAAAATCATCTCGCACCCCCCTCTTTGGGAACCACTGGGTATATGCTTTTCATTACTGAAGGACACAGTTTCCTTTTCCCTCAAGTACCTTCTACAGAGAGATGTCTGTAGTTTTCTAAACTTGATATTTTTGCCTCCTCGATGCACTTCACACATTCCTGCTTCGACTTAAAAACAGAGTATTAGTTTGAGACAGAGTAGTAACAGGTAGAGGGATTTTGAGGTCATTTTCACTTGCCCCAACACCACCCACTCTCTTTAACGGAGACTAATTATGTAAATGTAAAAAAAAATTTCCCATTCATGTCTTTTTGACGTAAACTCCTGACTCAAGGTCAGACATTAAAAAAACATCTGCTGGCTATGACATCATTAAACAATGAGGAGGCGGGGCTTATCAAAATCACTGTTTCGAAAGTCAAGTCTATTGATATTTTTCTATTATTAGATCATGTTTGCATTAAATACAATGTAAAATAGTCATTTATGTACATTACACTTTAATAACTAAATAAACCCAAACAAGCAAAATGTGTTTCTAAAATAATTTCTTAATTGATCCCAGAGTTGAGGTCAGAGTTGCACATTTTCTGAGGCCGTTGGGACTACATTCATGTAGTTTATCCACTTGAAATGACAGAGTGAGCGATGACAGAACTCATCGGACCCTCAGCATACCCTCACATATCCCCTTTTCCTGTGACAGGTCTGACCTTAGTCCTTGGTGCACTCCATCACTAACCACACTGAGCAGCTACTGGCTGTGATTTCTATTCAAGTTTGGTCATGGTAAACTGATACAATTCTGACTAATATATTGGTCAATCCACCCAATATGAGTTTAACTGATTAGAAAAGTTTGGTCCACAACCAACAGATCTCTGACCAAAGAGGCTTGACAAATTAGTAATGTTTATATTATACGTGTTTGTAATAATATATGTAGTTACCATGACAAACAGTGGTTGGAGCCACAGCTGCCCTGGGGCAAACTGACAGAAGTCAGATGCCGCTCAACTTTGCCATCAGCGAGGGTTAACCTGACCTTCCCCTTGGGTTGGGGAGAGTTGTCTTGCAGCGGGACTAAATAACACAATTTTAGGGTGCCTCTTTTAACAAGTGCTATGCTAAAAGTAGAAATATTAGACAAGTGCTTTATCATTATCCAATTGAAGGATTGTTTGAACTGTAATGGCAACACAAGACATATGCAATTTCAATTTTAGAACATAAAATTAACTCTGATTTGAAACTCATAGGCTTGGATAAATACTGTGTACTAATATGTGGCTAAAACCATGAAATATCCTACTCACTCTGGCGTATTAATCCAGATGATGTCCAAGTGGCAGTAGTAAACACATTCTTTGTCCTTGTAGGTGTAACAGGTGCACCTCTTGGCTCGCTGGAGGACTGGACTCGGGACCTCCGGGGATTGTGTTCCCTGCCTCAGCGCTCCTACATCTCTCTTGTCGGTTGCATCTTTACTCAGCAAATACCCTGAACCAATATAACAGCAAATTAGCACAAACACGAGAAACACAATGTTCCAATGTTTCGCCCACAATGCCAGTACAGTGCTTTTTTTTAAACAGGCGAGGGCATCTCTTCATGATATTCATTTTTTAGCAACAAAGTAATTTTCATTCTGTACAGAAACAATCATTACAATATTGTTTGTTAAATGAAGATGGTAACAAACACAATAGGGACAATAAAGTATATAAAAAATGGTATAACCAAACAAATCAAGGCACATAATTGTACAAAACAAATCAAATATGAATGTCTTACCATTTGCCAGCGTTGACGTCACCACAATAACAAACCAAACTCCTACATCAAAATAGGGCACAGTAGCCATCACACATAAAATGTATAATATTACAATAAATCTGGGGCGGAACAAATATCTGAAAATGAGAAAAAGCAGTCCTTTTGACAAAGTAAATAGTTAAAAGTTTCTCCCAATTGACAGTTGCACCAGCCCAGTGAGTCCTGACGTCTTCATGTGGGACTAGTCTCTCTGTCTCTCTTCTACACACGCTTAAGAACTGCGGCTTTGTGTCAAGTCAGCTCACATGTTACAGCTTCCGGAGAGAATTTCAAAATAAAAGCAGTTAAAGTAAGTATGTAGTAATCTTTATATAATGTATATAGCGTCTTTCACAGACATGAATCACCAAGCGCTTTCCATTTGTTTGTTTTTTGGGCATTTGTCTCTCACTCCACACAGAGATGGGAGTGAGGTGGTCATACAGGAGGCGCATGCCAGACATATTGAATCTGTTTTTAGTGGTAGAGGAAACCGGAGTACCCGGAGGAAACCTATGCAGACATGGAGAGAACATGCAGACTCCATTCCTGTTCTGACCGGTATTCAAACCCAGGACCTTCTTGCTGAGAAGCAAAAGTGCTATCCCTTAGCCACACTGGTGCATGAAAGCCCCTGACCATCACCATCTCTCATTACACACATTCCTATTGTACATGTTTTTAGGGGTAGGGGAAAACCGGAGGAAACCTGAATAACCTGGATACCTGAATCCCGGTGTAATCGAATAAGATTAGATAAACCTTGATTCGTCCTTCAGTGGGGAATTTTCAAAGTCACAGTTGCGCACATTACAGCCGAATAGAAGGTGAAATAAGAGCATACATCAAACAGGATCTATTAATTAAGATAATAGATAATAATACAAAAAAACAAACAAAAACCAGCAAGGCTACAAATCAGCCCCTTCGACCACCACCCATCTTTCAAGCATTCACCAGACTCATGCTCGGCAACGTGGGTGAAGTGTCTTGCTTAAGACACTTCACTGAGTGGATAGCACTCTCGCCTCTCAGCAAGAAGGTCCTGGGTTCGAATCTCGGTCGGACCAGGGCCTTTCTGAGTGGAGTTTGCATGTTCTCCCCGTGTCTGCGTAGGTTTCCTCCGGGTACTCCGGTTTCCCCTACCACAAAAAATATGTACAATAGGTCTGGCATGCGCCTCCTGTTCGGCGACCCAAAAATAACAATTGTAAACCGCTTTGTGACTCTCGTCTGTGAAAGGCGGTATATAAAATAAAGATTACTTACTTACTTACTTACTTAAGGACACATTAACAGTTTGGCACTTTACAGCTGACCTCGGCACCTTGTATTCCAAGAGGTCTCCCATTACAGTGCTAACCAGGCCCTGCCCTGCTTAGCTCCTGACAGGATCAGCTTTTCTCAAGCACAGAAGCTCTAATTGTTATTATAATGGTATACTTGTGATGATGTGAAACGCTTTGTTAATTATTCAAAAGGTTGAAGGTAAAATATACTACATATGTCAAATGTTTTCTGTCGGCATTCTAGTGTAGAATCAAGATTTCCTTTTTTTTTTGTGTTTCGGAAGTTAAGATTGAGTTTCTTCCAAGAAAAGTCGATGTGTTGGTTTTATATATCCCTAAGGTGCTCAGTGCCAAAGCCGTCACAAAACTGCCAGGCTCTTACCAGCAAAGTATCTGACATTGATTTTTACGGTGATAATGAGACTTGATATACATTATATAGGATATGTAATTACTTTTCTTACAACATGTATACAATATTATCTAAAAATTGTTTTGTGTATTCCACATAAAAGATTGAGTGCTGAGTGAGTGTGATACGATTTATACGTTTTTAATTGATTTAAATTACACATAGATCAACCTGACATGGAACAGAAGTCAAAAGGAAAACTGTGTGGCATGAGCACTATCCCCTCAGCCACTGTTCCGCCAATGTGCCATATACAAACTATTCAACAACTTTATCTTAGCTTTGTTCTAACCAATACACCTTAGTAAGTTTGTAATCCGTATTCATAACAACTTTCACAGACAGAGTCAGAAAGCACTTGTGTGTGATATGTGGCAAGTGTCATGCCACACATCAGAGGTGGAATCAAACCCAAGACCTTCTTGCTGTGAAGCAAGAGCACTAACCACTGCACCAGTGTGCACCAGTGTGGTATGGTATGTACTTTATTTGAACAGGGACAGTGTACAATTAAACATTAACACAAAGGAGAGATGTATGTACCAGGTTACAGCAAAGATGCTAATTACACTTACAGACTTTAGAAAAGATCATTCACAAAACAGTAAATTTGATACCAATAAATAAAGTTCCCCAACTTCTACTAAAATATTACACTCACTCACTCGTGCAAACTGTGCACCACTATTCATATTCCCAATATTGGTTTTATATGTTTCACATTTTTACATACATTCAGAATAAGGCCATTCCAGCTGTTAGTCAAAAGATATATTTCCACTAATGGATTTGTCTGCTTATTTGGTCTGAGCCAGGGTCTTGGTGTGTAGGCCTAGGGTGTTTAGATTAATGTTCAGGAATGCTGCAGTGTAGCTGGGTGGCTCGAATCCTTTTTCTTCACACGATAACTTCCGAACAAAGAAATGCATATCACATAATTATACTCTCATTCTGTAGGGATCCATGGGGATCCACTGAGTGGATAGCACTGAGTGCTATCCACTGATAGCACTGAGTCAGTATCAGTGATAGCACTGAGGGATATCTAAGCAAAGGCTGAGCATACCTCACCAGAAGTGATTGGCCAGATCTGGATGATCAACATGTAGATGTTCTGTAGTCTGCAGCACTTTGTGTGGAGCAGGTGTGATCCCAAAGCACAAAAGTAATCAGCAAACTCAACAAACGTCCACTTTAAGCTCTAGAAACCACTTTAAAGTGCAAGACTGTTTATTTTCAAACAGTGAAAATAGATTGGGTTAGGGATAAGATTGTGAAACCTGAACCTAAACCATGAAAACTGGGTTTAAATGCTATGCGTGATTTTTTTCCTGTTGATTGTACAAAAATTAAAACCTTATTATTACAATTTGTATTTGAATGTTGTAATTATGAGATTTTTAATGATTGCCACAATATGAATTAGCTATGTATCCTTAATCAGCTGTATAAATTATGGCTGCTGAATTCTAAATGCACGTAAAACAATGGTGTGGAGGTCCTGGTGAATTTGAGCCTTAATGCAGCAGCTGCATGGATCATGTTAAAGCCTCTGAACCCATAATGCATGAGAAGAACTTCCATCTGTAGGAGAAAACTGAGAAGTTATAGACATGTGTGTAGTCCTACTGCTTTAACAAATGACACATGTTTCACTGGTAAAGGGGTGCACTTGTTTTTTCTGCTCATTTAATGTCTTGTACAAACAGACGACATGGACATGAGGTAAAAGCACTTGGACAGACAATGATCACTAGAATAATCCTTGCGTAAACCAACACAGGCCTATGTTCAATTTGGAAAGACAAAATGATGTAAAGGTATCAGGAATGGTAGGATTCCAGTATATTTGCAGTATTATTGTACAGGTTTATCTATTATTGTTTTCCACATTAGAGGTTATTGGTGGTATTTTTATAGTTAGTCAGTTAGATACTTTATTGATCCCCATAGGAGAAATTCAGGTGTCCAATAGTAGCAATAACACATCCATCCATACAAACAAAACAAATAAATTGATCATTCTAAAAAGCTAACAATAGTAATAAAAAGCAACAACATGAAGCTGGACATTAGTTAGACCGGCCTTTCCTCACATTTATTCTGTTTTTATCATAGTTCAATCTTGAATTCAGCAATGGTAACATTTAACAGGTTTCTATCGTGTGAAACACTGTACATTACAGTGTTTTAATCACATTTTAACTCTACACTCTCTGGGACATATGCAACTCATTCTTGTCAAAGTTTCAAATAGGTTTAGTGAGATATATTGGATGCAAGAATTTCACAAAGTCCATGTTCAAAGGCATTTCTTCCATCCATCCTCCTGTAGGCCGTACATGCTTAGCTTTTAATCCGTTTTCTTTTACTGTATGTCTGAACATCAACAAGTTACTCTTTTATGAAGTAAATAAATAAGTTACGTTCTCGCACCAAAGTACATCTGCAACATTTGTGTCATATGAACCAGCTCTGACTCTGAGGAGCACAGGGACTGGCCTCCTGTTGGTGCCCAGAGTCAGGACTAAACATGGGGAGGCAGCCTTTCAGATTTATGCAGCAAAAGTATGGAACAGTCTTCCTGAAAATGTGAGACAGATTTCTTCTCTGACAATGTTCAAATCCAGGTTAATAAACATTTCCGATTGTATCTTTAGTCTTTTTAATGTAGTGTGATTATTTTTTAGTTTAATGTCTTGTGTTGCCGTTGAGTTGCTTTGTGTATGAACTGCGCAATTCAAATAAACTCGCCCCGCCTTGCCTACGTTATAAATACATTTTCAAACAGGTGAGCAAATACTGTGCATGTCGTCATTGTGCCTGAGGTGGTGGGTTGGTGTGATCAGATTCTGTCTTGACTCAGTCTCACAGATGCATCCCCAACAGCGCAAACTGTTCAGAACTATTTTTGGAGACTTGGACACTGTTATTACCCTAACGACGTCTGACAGTGACTAAGTGCTGAGAGTTTTACGGCCATGCAGTGCTCTCACCCCAATGGAACTAAAAAAAGACAACATTGTAGCTCAATGTTTTAGGTTGCGTTCAATTCAATTCCATTTATTTTTGTGAAACCCTAAATCACAATGGCAGTCGTCTGGGAGGACTTTGCAAAGTTGTCGATTTGCCAACAACAGAACCAAAACCATGAAAATTGGTTTGGAGTGGTTAGGCTAGTATTGTCATAGTGTTTGCCGAATGGGAAAGAAGTCATTTTGAACATAAGCTTGCTGAAGCCAATTTCCTCTCCAGCCGTCCAAATTCTTCCGCTTTATCTGTTTCCTGGGCGCAGGGGAAGCAGTGTAAACATACGCCCAGAATACCTATCCCCAAGCACTCCTGGGTACAGCCAGGGTGTGCCTAGGCCAACTGAGAGACATTGTCCCCCCAACGTTCCTGGTTCTTCCCTGGGTGACTTGTTCCGACAGTGCTTTGTGCTGTGACAGGAGCAGACATGTTGAAGGATTGATTGATAAAGCAAGCTGGAGTTTGCCCCATGACTGAAGGCATTGATGGGACAATTTTTATGGCTTATATCTGGATTTACAGAGACAAAAATCTAAATATAAACACCAGGGTCATTGATAGCACTAAACCACGTATGTTTTCAGCCCAAAATAGTGTAGAGTGTAACACAAACGGTTACTGAGCATGAAGGAGTTTTATTTTCATTGTAAGTGAATAGGAGCCAGAGAGAATTGGAGCAAAACTTTGTCCATGAGCTCTTCCCTATTGGGATTCATTGAGCTAGGGGGTTAGCATTGTCCATCTTTATAACTACAGTCTAAGAAATCATACAGTTTGTGTTTGACGTTCTATGTGATTTTATAGTGTAACTGAGGCCAGCTGAAAAATCTTTCTGGGTAACTGTGGTTTCCTGGTTCTCATTAAAAAAAAACTGTAACTCATTTTTTTGTAGTTCCTGTCCCAATCCACATGAAAGAAAAACTGTAATTAAGTTTGACATGTTCTTTGTCAGTACATGTCAATGAAAGTGTCCAGAAGTGGTGTTACATTAAATATCTAAAATACATAAAAAGGAGTTTCAGACATATGAATAAATATGCTGGGTTTGTGAATCTAATCACTTTCAAATGATGATCTGGGAAACATTTTGGCATTTGTATCTTTCCCATAGAGATGTATTTGCATCTGTCTTTCCAACTAAAATACAAATCTACAGCATGAACACAACCTATTGCCTTTATCTGCACACTTTTAATAAACAACTTAAATTGATTGTTAGTACTCAGCACGCCAGGTAATAGGGAAATGTTTTAATGTCTGAAACTGAAAAACATCTTGGGATAACATCTGCTTTATTTTCAGAAGTTGACTCACTGAAGCTTTTTGCACCGAATCTGGCTGCTTTTAACATCAAACGTCTTTGTGTTGGCTGGCTTCGTACATGTTTTGCCCGACACAAAACAGTAACTGAGAAATGGCAATCCTGATAGTTCCTTGAATGTATAATCTCCATCCATCCATCCATTTTCTACCCCTTAATCCATTTCTGGGTCGGGGGGGTGGCCAGAGATGCCACCCAGTACACAAACACCCTCACTGATCCTCCTGCAGGTGGTGAGTCCACAGGAGGACGGCTGCTCTTTGGCATAGCCTTGATCTTTCAGCGGCTTCTTCAGGCAAAGTGGGGTTAAGTGTCTTGCCCAAGTACACAACGACAGCAGACATCAGTGGGAGTCGGTGGAGAGGGTCTCATGGTGGGCTCGAACCCACGACCTTCAGGCTCAAAGGCCAATGCTCTACCAACTGAGCCACTGTCGCCCCTCTAATATAAAGTATAATCTCAATTTGGAATTTACTATCAAGGTTATTCCACCAACATCATATTATATATTCTAATTCTGACTAATTTAAAGTTGGGGTACATAATATAGTCCCAGAACAGTTTCGTTCTATCACTCGATTTCATGTGCATTGTTGTCTGGGCTCTTTTTCAAACAGAAACAGCCAAAAGAGAGGACCACACTCAATCTGGCATGTTCTGGTCTGATTTGTTCAAAAACGTTCATAGAGAAAAAAAATTAGGGAACCCCAGCTTTGATTTATGTGATGTTTTGGACAAAATGATTAAAAATACATACTGTAAAAATGCAATGAAATATTAGACTTTATTGAACATAAATGCTTTACCAAAACTGTATCATTATATTCAGACAACAATATAAATGCAAACCAGCTGCTTCTTGGACTTGTAAATAAATAAGTAAAAGCTTGTACTTCTTGATTGTCATAATACTAAAGCTCAATAATCAGCTTCCCTTCATCATCACTGCTGTCCTCCGCTTCCACTACACTCTGCACCACCCGCACTGCCCCACTTGGAGGCTCCTCTGGGGGGCAACTGAACGGAGTGCCCATTCCAAACAACAACCTGTCACATGGTAATGACAGCTTGTCCTGGTGTATGTGGTCAGAGAAAAGTACATTTGTCTGGCTTGGCGTAGTAACATATACAGAACTGTTGAACTGGTAGGAGTCCTTATGTTCATGGCTTTGAGACGTGTAGGTAACATAATTTATCAAGCTATTTCCATCATTGCAGTGAAGTCTTTGGTCTTGCTGCTGAAAGAGTCCAGATTCCTGATAACCAACCTCCGTTGAAGAAACAGTCTTGCACCAGGGACCTTCAGTTGGATTTCCTTCACTTAGAACAGAAGCCGTTCTCATGGAGTCACTCTTTACCTGTGATGTAGGTGGGAGATTGCAGAAGTTATTACTTGCTGCTGGTATGCTGATGGACTCAAGATTTGAGTCGGTGCCAGAACTTTGTGGAGGGCCTCCACATATTCCTAATTGTGTCTGTGAGAAATAATGAAGAGGGTTCTGCCCTGCAAGCCAGCCATTTGGAAAGGAATCCACTCTGGCTCTAGCCTGTTCCACCTGCTAATAAAAAATGGAAGGAAAAAGAGATTACTGAAAGATTGACATAATCAGACATTGAACTCCTGTTCAATAAGATTTGACTTATGATAACCTAATCACATGCCAGATTGATAAGGCATGAAGCTGTTTTTAGATATAACACATCTCAATCTGTCAACCTTAAGACAAAGGGCCTCCTGTCAGCTGCTAATGGAACAACATCAAATGATTGTAATAAAAAAAAACATGAAAGACATTCACTCTGTGGTCTTGGGGCTTTCAGATAATTTCCATGATTTGTGTTAGGATTCTGCATTACACTTGTGTTATTGTTGTTTTTCTTGCTTTATTTACACAGGCATGATCATAAGAGTCTACCATAAATAAGGCATGATTGAGTGAACTGGCAATTTCCATGTGAGCAACATATGGACAAACACATCTGTGAACAAGTTCATACATCAAAGCTCACCTGCGTGTCCAGCTGAATGTTTGTAAAGCCTCCTCTGTCTGTGAACAATGGCACATGGCTCTGCTCAGAGTGCTCAGGGGCCCCAGTGTGGGAGGGCTGTTCCACACGTCCAACAGGAGAGACCTCCTTACTCCCTGAGATTAATAAATGACATATTATGCAACATAAAAATAACTTTAAGATTCACTTGAACAGTTATTGTAATGTGATGTTCAGGTTTTGTTTGTACCAACATTCGATACACATTTGTTTTTGTTTTTTTTTCAAATTACCATTATTTATACCAGAAAAGATTACAGATAATTTAATATTGTGACCTGAATACAGAAATGTGTTTCACTTGATGAGAAATGTATAGATTCTGTTCTAAAATCAGTTTCTATCCAACATTATGAGGCTGCTGCCACCTTCTGGACGTGTGCTGAACAAACACAGTTACTTGCTTCCACCTTGTGTTTAAAATGACATCATGGAGAAACATGAAAGAGCACGCTCAGAAATTGAACTTTCAAACAAAAGGAACATTTGTGTTACTTTATTTGAAAGTAGTTGATTTCTTGGATGAATTTCAGAGAATACGACATACAGTATATATATGAAAAATATATGTATGTCACAAGGGTTTGTAAACTTAAAATTTAAATTATTTTAGTAGTTTCCGATGACATTACTATGTATTCATTATATGTATCACTTATTCTAATAATTACCTGCAGAAAAGTCTGGGACGTGTGACACAGCTGTTGATTTGGTTCCTCCTGTTGACACTGATGACACATGTTGGTCTTCTGGTTCCAGGGAAGTCTTTTCAGAGGTGTGATTTGTTTGAGATAAACTGAGGCATACCATGGAAGCTTGAAGATTGTTCCTGTTGACTATTTGATTGGATTTTTTATAACGCAGATCATCATTACAAATGTCAATATGTTTCGCACCACACTTTATCCCTTCATTGTTCTCCGGATGAGGAGAGGCAGGGCATGTGACTGTTGCCATGCTTGGGTTAGGCCCATTAGATGCCTGTGCGGCCAGTTCCTCTTCTGTTTTCTCTACTTCTGACACGCGATCGTCCTGAGCTGCAACATTGCTTAACAGATTTCTTTGTGGAATTTCATTTTTTTCCAAGATTGTGTTTTTAGGTGGGGTCAACACCTCACCTTCCTCAGAAGTCTCGAGCTTTCTGACCTTGTTTACTTGGACACTAATGTGTGGGTGTGTTGGCAAAGATGTAGACTGACCAATTGACTTACTCGTGTGGACAGTTTCAGTTTCAGATTTATTGCATACTGAAAGCTTAGCGCTGTCCTTGTTATTTGTATCCAATTCCTTGTTTAATGCACAATGTTTATGGCTGGTTGGTTTTTCAGTATTATCCGCTGTACTGCTGATGTTTAACCTTTCTGCTGTGACAGGCTCTTGCTCACTTGACAGGGGCCTGCTGCTTGTCTGTTTCTCGATCTGAGGTTCAATAAGGGCTAACTGCTCATCAGAAAGCATTTGAAAGCATATTTGAAGATCTGGTGTTTGAACATGAAACACTTTTGGAATAGTTTGCTGACCTGGCACGAGTTGGGACGGTATTTCTGTGGTGTCAGAATGTAATGCCATTTGGGGTTGCAGTGGTGATGGTGAACATCTCTGTGATGTTCCTGTTCCCAGCGTTGATGACAAAGTGGTAAAAGCAGCGGGAGAAGATTGAGTTCTGTGGATAGGTGTGAAATAGACACTGCTGTTTTTCACCAATGTTGGAACCACAGATCCATAAGCAGGGGACCGTATTTTTGGACTGAGTTGTCCTGAGTTGTGGGAATTTCGTAAACTGGTGGTAGTTTTTGTGTCCGCAGCAGGACACTGGTGAACTACTGTAGAAATAACATTGATATGAGTTGGATTACATGGTTTGGAGTGGTTTGATAAGAAACTGCTATTACTGGAGGAATAAGTAGAGAGTTGCTTCGAATCAGATTTGTATGAGGCTGTTGTGGTGAGAGGCAAAGCTGAGACCGATATGGGTTCCTTCGGTGTGAATCTAGATAAACTATTTTTTGATGAACTAGGCTCTTGAGAATTAGGCAACTTGAGCTGGTATTTGGGCATAAAACTTTTCTGAACAGGAGTTGTAACGGATGTTGTTGGTGAGCTGGCAACAGGTTGTGGATTCGTATTGATTGTGCTTGTCTGAAACAAAGATACCTGAGTAGAATTTGGCTGCATATTTGTTTTGTGTGGTTGAGAAAACTTGGGATCAATCTCATCCGTTCTTTGTTTCTTTCTGTCAGAGGGAACGCTGACCTGGCTTTGAAAGACTGGGCAGGGACTTATTAAGTTGGTTGCCTCCTTTGCTTTATTGGAACTAAAATTCAGGTTCGGTGTCAGAGAAAGAAAAGATAATGGAAGTACAGACAATGACAAATTTCTTCTAAGAGGCATCCTCGGGCTGGAGGGGGATGCTAGTATATGACTCATGTGTCCATTTAAACTTGCACTTGGCATTAACTGAAATTTGGCAGTTTCAAGATTGTGCACAGTGGCACTTCTGACTAAAGTAGGGCTTGATACTGTTGTTGTTTCACAGTGTCCTGCTGAGAGACGTTTCTGTAGCCCCTGATAGAAATCTGAATTAGGGAATGATTTTGCTCCCTTGTGGGCCCTGTTCTCACTTCCTTTCTCCATGTCGTACAACTTCTTGAATGTTCCACCTCCATACATGTACCACTTGTTGTAGGCAAACTTTTGTGCCTTTTTCCTCCGGGACTTTCTGTTGCTTGTATCCCCGCACGTGTCATCTGCCTCACCGTGGCTGGAGGGGCTGCTCATGCAGGCCTCGTCTACAGATGAGTTCTTACTAAGAGCTTCTGTTGCATTGTTGCAGTCTACAGCTGCTTGGCGGACAAGGGGCCGGTGGTTGGACGATTGCTGGTTCACTGACTTGAAAGAGAGACTTGTTTGACTTATCTGGCCTGAGCTTCCACGTCTGAAAAATGTTGAATAATCTCCTCGTTGGGAGGGGGTGGTGGGACTGCTCAGGTCAGGCTGCAGGAGGTTCACGCTGAAGGGCAAAGAGTTGCTTCGAGTTAGTGGTGAATGCTCTACTGATGTAGATTGTTGCGTTGGAACAGAGGTGTATATAACTGGTCTCCTATTTCTTTGAGCATTTGATAGCTTACTAATCCTCATGTCAAAATGAAAAGAGTCCTTGTAAGTGTACGGCAAAGGAAGGTCAATGCTGCCTTGCTTGGAGAGTGTTGTCTTCCGAGGCCTTACGTGTTCTAGATGTTTATCCTCCACAACGGCACTGTTTTGTGAGATTAGTTTGGATATGCGTTCCTCTAAGCTCTTATTTTCCTGTTCTTTGGTGGCATTTTTATCTTCCTGAGTCTCTATTTGGCGATTAGAATCCTCTCCTTGTTCTGTGCTGGTCTCTGTCAGAGAATCCATGCTGTGGTCAGGTAGCAGACTTCCTGGGCTGGGATAGTGCTCACTGCTCTCACTGAAGCCGGAGTCAGTACTCTCATGGCTTTTGGATTTACTGGACACAGAGCTGTCCCACTGTTTGGAAAACAAAGTTGCTTCTTGTCTCTGAAGAACAACATGGCGGTTTGATGGAGGAAGGTGCTCTTTGGTTGCTTTGTCATCTGCCAGAAAGTGTGTTACTAGTGGTTCTGTTTTTGGAGTAACGTTTTTATCATTTATATCCATTGTTTGGGTAACAGATGGAGATGATAATCGTAAACTTGCATTTCTTTCTGCTCCCATAGACTCATCAGTTGGCTCGTCCACAAATAAACTGGCCGTCTCTGTTGAGCGGGACAAGCTGTCCAGGCTGCCCACAGTGCTCTGCTCTGATTCAGATGAGAGTCGTGCATGCGCTTGTGTGCGCTTGTGCTTATAGAGGTTGCTCTGAGTTTTGAAAGACACTCCACAGACTGTGCATGGGTATGGCCGCTCCCCGGTGTGGCAGCGGAGGTGCTTCTCTAGAACACTGGGCTTCATACAGTCCCGTCCACAATGAGGACACAAGTGTTTTCCTGCTGATTTGGGTTTGGCTGCAGGAGGGGTGGCTGTGACGCTCAGTCCTGGCTGGATTCCCCCAGCAATGTGCAGTGTGAGGAAAGGCAGCGTCTCCTTGGAGTAAAGCGGCGGCATGCTCAGATGCAGAGCATTGGGGTCCGCTACAGCGAGAGCAGGCTGAGTGGGCAGAGCAGGCACTGTGTGGATGTACACAGCCGTCAGAGGGGCCTGTATCTCCATCCTCCGCTCCGTCTGCGCTGCCACCGCGCTCATGTGAGAAGCAACGCTCGCCAATTCAGGCTTACCAGTCTCCATGGTAACAGGACTGCTGTCGTGAGACACCACAGCCTGCTCTCTAATTACCTGGAAGAGAAGCACAGTTTGTGTCAGACCTCAACTTTATCACTATTTACAATCACCCAGTTCAGATATTTCTCTAGAAAGATAGTGTTCCATAATATGACATCATTATAATGTTTTTGTCTTTAGTTACGGGCGGCACGGTGGCTGAGTGGATAGCACTCTCGCCTCTCAGCAAGAAGGTCCTGGGTTCGAATCCCGGTCGGACCAGGGCCTTTCTGAGTGGAGTTTGCATGTTCTCCCCGTGTCTGCGTAGGTTTCCTCCGGGTACTCCGGTTTCCCCTACCACTAAAAATATGTCCAATAGTTCTAGCATGCGCCTCCTGTACTGGCCCCTCCCATCTCTGTGTGGAGTGAGAGACAAATGTCCAAAAATTAACAATTGTAAACCGCTTTGAGACTCAGATCTGCAGTGAAAAGGCGGTATATAAATAAAAACTTACTTACTTACTTACTAACTTACTAGTTACTCTTTGAGATGTTACAAACCCACATTTTCTGAAATGACTGGATCTTGAACACCTTCATTTTGTGAAGGTAAATTAAGACCAACTACCAAATGGGAACTTTCTAAGCAGTGACCTGGCTTCCAACAAAAGTTTTCCTACTTGTTTTCAAACATCAATTTATTTTATTTATTTCTGTTTCAGGGCTCCACCAGTTGTCTTTTTCATGTATCCAATTTAAGTTAAAGACAAACCGGAAAATCTTGATAATACAACAAACAATGAATAGAATTCAAGAGACAAATAATGCATTGAAGTACTCATCGGTTTATTGATGGACACTTGATAATAATATCTAGGATTTCTGTAACTTCCCTATAGTTGTTATCAACTATTTGCATTCAACCGACGTGGCTGTCACTACATATCCAAATACAAAATGCCCGGAACATGTCCTAATAGACTTGTTGCACCTTCATCTATGCACCTGTTATGGAAACAAACTGGGTGAATCTGGGTGATTCTGCTGTGCTATCCTTTAGTTGCACCACCTGTAGAATCACAGTAACAATCGCATGAAACTTTAGGTGTATCTTTCACTTCCTCTTGTCTATGTAAATATGCAACAGTGTTCCATACTATATGCAAACACTGAGTGTAGTATCCTACATAGTTGGGTTTTCATTATAGTCTACATTATATTATTTTGGTAGAGTGAATTCATAACAAGTTCCATGTTGCAATGCAGTCAGCTTGTTGCCGCTTTTAGGTTTTGACTTTGACGCCTATCAAAGTCAAAAATACTGACACAGACCAGTGAATATATCACAAGTTGAGATTGTTTCTTACCTTTTAGCCATGTTCAAACATTTCAGCGTCCTCACCAGTCTCCGGTCTCACTCACTTGAGTCCGATTGCAGCTCTCTGACACAACACGAGGAAGGAGAACAAATGCAAATGTGAGGAAAGATGCACACCGAAGGTTGCGAGGCAAAGAGGAGGAGGCGGAGAGGCTGGCTGCCTGGTGGGTGGGTGGTTATCAAACAAAGACTTCCGGAGAACAAGTTGAACACGATGATGTGCAGTAATGAAAGGGAACAGAGTAAGGCCATGGAATAGTCTCTGCAGATAAATGACCAAATGTTTCGATGCAAAAAGTTGAGATATTGCCAAAATCATTCACTGTGAATGCAAAAAAAAAGCTTTTGAGTAAGCTCATTATAGTTAATGCAAACTGATAAATGATGAATAAATGTGTTCATATGTATTTTTTTACAAATAAACTTCCCTTGCCTTACCTATAGGCACGCAAAGGATTATCCATGCACAAAAAATGTACTTCTGCCTGCTGGTCCGCCTAACTTCCAAACCACAAAACATTGAAGTATTCCATCTTTTTCTCAATACAGTTTGGTTGGTATTTTCTAAACTGTTACATCTTTAGATAAGCTTTTTCAGACAGAAATGTGAAAAAGAGAGATCAGCCAATTAGCTCTGAGCCCAAAGCATCAATTAGTGACAGGCCTCTTTCTCACAAGAATGCAAACATGTATATGTTTGATAATGACACCATATTGAGGTCTAAATATCGCAAAAACTCCAATGTTATTATTTATGTAAAACAAAAGTTAGAGTTGCATATTGCATTTTTTAACAGTACATTACCAACATTGTGCAGAACTTTACTTTCCTTTTTAAACCAATATATCACAACATTCCTAAGGTGAAATCCACACCTCAAGTTCTGAAATAAGTAGCAGGATGTGTCCATAGTTGGTGGTCTGCCGTATGAGCCAGTTATAACAATGATTAAACCTATTTATAAAAAGTTCTTAATCAAAACATTTAATTGAAGTGCTATTTTGTAAGAAAAACAAAAACGAATAAATAAAAGTACATTTTAGTCCACACAGCACCTTCCCTTGTCTTTCTGTTGGAAACCTGTACAATTTGTTTATAACAATGGTACAGGTTTTCAGTTTGTGTTCAGTCCGTTGCTTGTGTGCAAATCTGTTCCGGGCCACACACACCTCCTCCCACACCGTGGTCATACGCCCACATGCACATGAGGGGAGAGTGCTGTTGCTGAAGTGCTCTGGGCTTTGAGTCTAACAAATACCCACTTCCTCTAGACCACATTCACGATACACAACCAGCTCACACAATTCTCTTTCAGTATCATGCTCTGTGTGAATCTATATGCTGTGTGTCCTTTTCGTAGTTCAATATAGACTTTGAGTCAGGAAAGGAAAACAGAGAAATAGATGATTTTGGTTGGACTGGGTTTAAGACACACTTTCATCCATATGAACTACCACTACTTTTCACTCTCTGAAAAACGTCTGTTTCACTTAAATGTGTTCAACCAAGTTGGAGAATGACTGGAGACGGGAATGCTGATGTTTACAGTGACTGGAACGGAAACATGGAGATGTCACTGAATATAAGATACTTCATGATAATGTTTGTGTCTAAAATGTGGGTCTAAAGTAAAATATATTCTAATTAGTCAAATGAAGAACTCGCATACTTCTAATATTTTTAAATAAACTGTAAAGTTTTAAAAACAATTGAAATAATTATATAGATAGAAAAATATGCAACATATTCAATGATGATTTCAGTGATTAATTCCTTCAGACTCCGCTCATCTCCACAGCAACAGCAAGGCTGCATGCTTTGTCTGTGTGTGTCGTCATGACAACAGAACACCTCCTATTGCAGTCTGTACTCTGCATCGCCAGACAGAAGTAATTTTTATATTGTGCTGTTGAAGGACACGCAACATGAATTTCTGAAAGAACTTCAATTCAAAAGTCCTGTCCCCAAGACCTGGATCACTGGACCTTGCGCTGACCTTGTAGACCTGTGGCACTTACAATTGTAGTCATAAAGTCATTTGAGCGCCTGATCCTCTCCCACCTCAAATCCTTCACTTCCACCCTCCTGGACCTCCTAGAGATCCATAGACAACGGCAAAACCTGGCCCACCACTTCATCCTGCAGCCCTGCACCTCCAGCCACGACTTTGCGAATCTGAACAAATTTGCGGACGACACCACCCTCATTGCCATTATGTCTATTTTAGTTTTTTTCTGTGAATTGATGTTATTTGACATAATTTAAGTTAAGATAAGATACACCTTTATTCGTCTCACGGTAGAAATGTGCACAGTGTCATTATAGCAGAGAAAGAAGGAAATAAAAGCACTCAGATTGCACACATCAAATAAATTTAAGATAAGAATAAAATTAAAGAAAACAATATAAACTCTGGGGCTATAATTGCACTTGGTTCAGAAGTATTATCAGATGTCTATATTGTACATTAGCAGCAGAGAATATGAGAATATGAATATGAGCAGAATAATCATCAAAACAAAATCAACATGTAAAGTGAATGGTGAATGGCAGAAATATCAGATGGACATGTAATAATGCAGTAATACTAATAACAGGTAAAGTGACTGGTGACAAAGTTACTAGTGAATTATCAGTGACATATGTACAAACTCAGCAGTTCTTGTTACACATTCTCGTTGTACAGTCTGACAGCAGCAGGGAGATATACCAAGATATAGTGTATAGTATAGTAATCTAATAGTATATTAGAAAACCACATAATGTCATGAGTTCGTTTTAGTGTCCCATGACGTAGTAATAGTTTAATAAATAATGAAAATGATGGCCTTATACTATATCCTTTGATCCAGTCTTGATTCAACCCAAACATAAGGGAAACTAGCAGAAGAGATTATCTAAACACCTGTTATATTTCTATAATAAAATGCCTTCGTAATGTCAAAGGAATTACCAAAGGTGTAGGATATGAGTTTCAAAGATACTTCACACAAAGAAAACAAGAGACATTGGAACAACAGAAAATATATAAAACTGACCAATCATTGTTACCAATCCGGCCCTGACCTGAAATGTAGCTCGCGAAAATTCAATTTAGAAGACGTCAGCCCAAGCTACCCCCTCCGGGCCGACTCACATCCTCAGCCTATGGCGCAGCAAACGCCCCCTTCCAATCACACCGTGCCGGACAGACCAGCCGCTTAAAAGCGGAGCAACTCCCATTTTACGGCCTCCCGAAGCCTCGCATGCTCCTGCAGCCTCGCAAAGAATCGTTCTGGAGGAATCGCTTGTCTACTCACGCTTACTCGTGCGTGTCCCTGGTGTCCTCTGTCTTGCTGCGTGTGGTCTGCTCCTCCTGTGGCTGCACCTGCTGCGGGTCTCGTGCGTGGTCCGTGGGTCTTTGCCGCTCTCCTCCTTTGCGGGCTCTTTCCGCGGGTTTGCCGCTGCTCGTCTCGTCGCAGCCTGCTGCTGCATACGGCCGGTCTAGCCCGTTGCGGTGGGAGCCGTGCGCATCCCTGTCTCCTTGTGCCGGTACGGCGTGGTCCCGTCGTGTTGTCCCTTGTCTTCTGGCGCTGTGGGTAAAGTATGAGATCCGCGGACGGTTTTTCCCCTCGCTTTGTACTGCAGGCTCAGTTGGCCCAGTGCTGGTGGGCAGGCTTCAGTTTAAAGCCTCGCATTAGTCTGCAGGCCCTCTTTAACCAAGCTCCGTTAAATCTTCACTCTGACTGCAAGCTCCGTTTAATCCCTCACATTGGAATGCAAGACCTCAGTTTTAATCGCTCTCATTGGACCGCATGCTCTCAGTTTTAATCCCTCACTTTGGCCTGCGGGCTCTGTTTAAATCCCTCTCTGGACGCAAGCGCTGTTTAAATCCCTCATATTGGACCGCATGCTCTGTTTAATCCCTCACTTTGGCCTGCAGGCTCTGTTTAAATCCCTCTCTTTGGACTGCAAGCGCTGTTTAAATTATATCTGGAACTACTTATACCTGGAACTGTTGTACCGTATCTGGAACTGCCTATATATGGAACTGCCTATTTATGGAACCGCTATATTGGAACTGCTCATATGGTACGGCTATACATGGAACTGCATACATGGTACTGCCTATATCTGGAACGCTATATTTAAAAAAAAAAAAAAAAAAAAAAAAAAAAAAAAAAAATAAAAATTATAAATAACTATAAATAAATATAAATAAATATAAATAAATATAAATATAAATAAATAAATAAAACTGCAGGCCTGTTGGATCCCTCTCACTGGACTGTAATCTCTCAGTTTAAACTCCTCACTTGGACTGCGGGCTCAGTTAATCCCTCACTTGGACCGTAAAACTGTTAAATCCCTCACACCGGACTGCAGCTCTCGGCTTAATCCCTCATTGGACTACAAGCTCTCTGTTATAAATCCCTCTTTAGGACTGCGGGCAACGTTGAATCCCTCTCTCTGGACTACAAGCTCTCAGTTTAATCCTTCACCTTGGACTACAGGTCATTTAACTCCCTCACACCGGACTGCAGGCTTTCAGTTAAACGCCTCACTTGGACTACGGGCCCGGTTTTAATACCTCACTCTGGACTGCAAACTCTATTAAATTCCTCACATTGGACTGCAAGCTCTGTTTAGGTCCCTCGGCGTCTCGTGTCCCGCAACCTCTTCCCGGCTCTCCGTGAGCCCCAAGTCGGCACGCGGCTCGGGCGCGGGAGGTGTCCGTGTGCTACGTCATTGGCCCCTTCTCTCCGTCTCGCTCTAACCCGACGGGCATCGCCACCCGCAAGCACTCCAGGAAGAAGCGTCTCATATTCGTCCTCTCCTGTCCCCGCTCCGGGCCCGCCCGAGCATCAACAGCCCCTTCCCTCCAGCGCCCCTCTCTTGCGGAGGCGCCGTGCTGGATCCTGCTAAATTATGTACGGCTCCCCTCCGTCCCGCATCTCCTCGACGACTTTCTCGTGGTAGACCCACCCTCGGACGGCTCCGGGAGCTCTCTCCGCAACCTCAAGCTCGCTTTCTACGCCTTGGGAGTCCCCCTCTCCGAGGAGAAGACCACAGGCCCGCCACAGCTCTAGAGTTTCTCGGCATCCGCCTCGACACGCGCGCCACGGAGGCCTCCCTCCCGCTGGGCAAACTCGAGCGCATCCGCGCTATCTCCCGGTCTGCCCCGTCATCCCTGTCACTTTCGAAGCGTCAGTTGCTCTCCCTTCTCGGGCGTCTTGATTACGCCATCCGCATAATTCCTCAAGGTCGCTCCTTCATCTCCAGACTCCTCTCCCTCGCCGGCTCCGTCTCCTCCCTCAACGACGCGGTCTGCCTGGCCGCGGGGTGCCGCTCCGACCTGGCGTTCTGGTCCCGCCTGCTGAGCCGTTGGAATGGCGTCTCCTTTTTTCTACAGCAACGTCGTCCTATCCTCGGACGCCCTGCGGTTCTTCACGGACGCAGCCCCGTCCGTGGGTTTTGGGGGATTCTTTCAGGACCAGTGGTTCGCCGGGCCCTGGCCCGACGCCTTCCCTCAAAACATCTCCTCCGCGCTCCACGAGATATATCCCGTGACCGTAGCCTGCGCGCTGTGGAGCCATATGTGGCAGAGGAAAAGGATTTCCGTGATGTGCGACAACCTCGACGTTGTCGAGGTTCATCCTCTCCCCAAATCATGTCTTTTCTTAGACGTATCACATGGCTCTCAGTCCTGAACAATTTTATTATCACTGCTCGTCGCGTCCCTGGTCACCTTAATTGTCTCGCTGATTCTCTCTCTCGTTTCAAATTCCAGGAGTTCCGACGCCGCTGCCCTTCTGCCAACCCATCGCCATGCCAGATCCCCTGCATGGAATCCCTCGCCCCGGACTAATCCCTCCGTCTCTTCGCCTCCTCATCTCCTCCGCGGCATCCTACATGAAGATGGGCCTCTCACCTTCCACTCTGAAATCATACAGTCTCGCTTGATCCATGATGCACTACACTCGCCTCCGCTCACGGAAAGGAGATCTCAACGGACCGTCATTCTCACTCTCGATAACCTCCTGATGTCCTCCAACTGGGTCAGAGCCCAACTCAAGTCTGTACTGCTGCTTTGTAACCTGTCTCCCTATCTCTACACAGCCCACTCCTTCAGAATAGGCGCCGCCACGCGTGCCGCGTCCCTGGGTCTCCCCCATTCTGCCCTTCAGCAGTTGGGCCGCTGGTCATCATCGGCCCTCTCCTCATACATCAGGCCTGACACTCCGACTATCCTCGCAGCCCAGCGCCTCTTGGCATCTCCATAAATCACTCGCAAAACTCCTGGTGGCGGCAGCAGCTGAGTATCCGCATAACGATCACAGCATATAACGGTCACAACAGATAGCGGTCATAGCTTAGTGATAGCGGTCATAGCGTCAGTGATAGCGGTCATAGCGTCAGTGATAGCGGTCATAGCGTCAGTGATAGCGGTCATAGCGTTAGTGGTAGCGGTCACAGCGTTAGTGTTAGCGGTCACAGCATAGCAAAAAATGGTTAGCGCATAAACGGTTCACAGCATAGAGATAGCGGTCACAGCATAGCGATAGCGGTCACAGCATAGCGATAGCGGTCACAGCATAGCGATAGCGGTCACAGCATAGCGATAGCGGTCACAGCATAGCGATAGCGGTCACAGCATAGAGCAGCCACGACGTCTGTCCCCTGCAAACCAGGCTGCAAAACCCCATCAACTCACAGCCTTTTTGGGGATTCTACGCGCCCCAGCGCAGGAGCCTCCCCTAACTGAAGGCCGCACCGGGGCCTAGGGCGCCAAACCACCTCTCATTAAAATACTCAAAAGCTTTCTTGTTTCACGTCTCTCCAAATTGAAATGTAGCTCGCGAAAATTCAATTTAGAAGACGTCAGCCCAAGCTACCCCCTCCGGGCCGACTCACATCCTCAGCCTATGGCGCAGCAAACGCCCCCTTCCAATCACACCGTGCCGGACAGACCAGCCGCTTAAAAGCGGAGCAACTCCCATTTTACGGCCTCCCGAAGCCTCGCATCCACCGCCTCCCCTCCTCCTCCTCTTCACCCTGCCTCCAACCTGCCTTCAAACCTGCTTCACGCTGCCAAGATGCCGCCACCAGTACCTAGGCCCCGGGGGGATTCTACGCGCCCCAGCGCAGGAGCCTCCCCTAACTGAAGGCCGCACCGGGGCCTAGGGCGCCAAACCACCTCTCATTAAAATACTCAAAAGCTTTCTTGTTTCACGTCTCTCCAAATTGAAATGAGTATGGCTTGTTGGAGCACAGAGAGCATATGAGGAAATATAATGAGAGATTTATTCTACGTAAAATGTGGATGTATACTGAAGAACAAAGACAAGGAACTTGCAATCAATTACTATTTTTATTAATACATGTAAATGTATGACTGTCATCTAAATACAAAATGGCACGTTGTTTGTGTTTGTTTTAAAGCTCTGTGGCCTTAATTCTTTGTTATCCTTTTTTCCACAGAATCATAATTCTTGTCAGAAGACACAAGCCAGGAATTTGCTTTGACATATTATGGGATAATAACAAATTACATATATACATATATATTCAATAACAAATAATACAAGTGTAGACAAAAAGATAAATGTAAAGATAAAACAATCTTTACATTAAAACTCGAATGTATAAATAAACCCAATAGACATAGCAGTGGATGTAAACACATTCAAGTGTACAGAGTTATGACAGTGTAAATATTAATAAAGTATTGATGTTGTTTGTGTTTCATTCAATAAAAAAAAAACAGAAAAAAAACTGAACTGCCCACAAAAGATAAAAGCATGAAAACCATAGACAGTAAACCTTGGAAAATATTTTAAAACAAAAGAATAAAACATTACGTACAACAGCGTCATACGTCACGCACGGACGCCTCGAGCAGCACCAAAACTTTGGGCTTCACCTCCGCAAATCTATGTGCATTACGGCTAGGAAACACTGGTACTTTAGTCTGACTGATAATCACACTCTTTTAGGATATGTGCAAGGTTTCGCTCGGGTTTAGTAAATATCTACGAACGCAAACGCCCCAAAACTGCACTGTTGTTTGCTATTGTAGCCGTTAAGCTAACTCGACTAGCATGAGCTCCATTCATTCTCTGTTAGCTTAACGAAGATACTAACATCTTATAGATACACACAAGTCTCGTCAGAATATATCCTGCTTAAAAACGTACAGCTGATAGTGTTTATGTTATTTTTAAACCAATGCGAACTGCTAATGTGCTGCTATGTTTGCAGATATTTCGGCCTTTGATCTGTGCTAACATGTTTCGTCCGAAGCCCACGTTGAGAGACCGACAGCACCTGTATAGATTGATAATAAGCCAGCTGCTCTACGATGGCTACACTAACATCGCCAACAGCCTCATCACCGAAGTCAAGCCCCAAAGCGTGGTGTCTCCATCCGAGCAGCTCATGCAACTTGCCAAGATGGGTATGTCTGTTATGCTCTTTACTTTTGCTTGTTGTTCATTTACAATACTTCAGTCATTATTTTACCAATCTGATTTAATCTAACTTTCTTTATCTGTGGTTCCTAATCCGGTTTATAGACTCCAGAAATGACAAAGCGGGCATGTAAACGAAAACATAATATTGTGGTAACACGATTAATTATTTTATTAGCTTAGTTATTATTTTTCAACATTGATGTATTATATTATCTGGATAGGTTATTGCTGGTTAAACACGTCTCCAGCATGGACAAGGGGCCACTTCATCTTAAATTTACATAGATTCCCCATAGATCTCAATACTAACTAAAACAGCTCGTCCTCAGCTTGAAAGGGAACCCAGAGGTTTCACAAAGGTCGAATTGTTTGGGGATCTCGCTTTAGCACAGCTATGATCAGCAGTAAGTAATCTTTAGTAAGTAATCTTTATTTATATACCGCCTTTTCACTGCACATCGGAGTCTCAAAGCGGTTTACAATTGTGATTTTTGGGAGTGGGGTTGCCAGTACAGGAGGCACATGCCAGACCTATTGTACATATTTCTAGTGGTAGGGGAAACCGGATCACCCGGAGGAAACCTACGCAGACACGGGGAGAACATGCAAACTCCACTCAGAAAGGCCCTGGTCCAACCGGGATTCGAACCCAGGACCTTCTTGCTGAGAGGCGAGAGTGCTATCCACTCAGCCACCGTGCCGCCCTATCAGCCGTACCAATCAGCAGTGTGCTGATTGGTCAGAACACTGTCATACTCCTATGGTTCTGCGGAAGTAGAACTTGTCAAAATACGCCTCTTCCACCAATGTTTTGGCTGTCCTTGGGAGCCAATGGGCACCGGCCATTGATTTGAATGTGCAGACATCTTGTAGAGCTGTGGCTTCTCACACACAAACTGTAATACGAAGGGATGACATCCGGAAGTAGTCTTGGTTCGAGTGGATTAGACTTGACTGCTGTTTCATTATGTTGGACTATGCTGCACCTTTGACCTTTACACTGTATACTTTATTTTTTTAGTTTTAGTTTTGCAATTTATATTTAATAATTTGTTCCTGTAAATAACATAGATGCTTAAATAATGACACTGTAGAGTAAACTATACCTAATCTGATGTTTCTTTACTGTATTTCAAATGACTGTTTATCAGAAAGTGTCAGGGGATTTTTGTGAACATTGCAGTGGTACCATGATCCACTAAATAAGATTCAGTGATGAGATGGCTCTTTGGGTTGTTTCAGAACTACATCAAGAGCTTTCCCATTTCCTCCCATTTCCAGTTAACAAAAACTTTGATTTAAATGTCTCTCGTTGTGTTTCAGGGCTGGAGAATGATGACAGTGCCGTTCAATATGCCATCGGTCGATCAGACACGGTGGCCCCCGGAGTCGGCATTGATCTGGAGTTCGATGCAGACGTGCAGACCATGTCTCCTGAGGCCTCAGAGTATGAGACCTGTTATGTTACGTCACACAAAGGGCCCTGTCGAGTGGCCACATACAGCCGGGATGGACAGCTGATCGCCACAGGCTCTGCCGACGCGTCAATCAAGATATTAGACACCGAACGCATGTTGGCCAAAAGTGCCATGCCCATCGAGGTGAAGGATTGCACTAGTGATGCTCTTCTGTATATCAGTGCATTAATAATGTATGAGTTGTTCAGTCCCCATGATATTTGTTAAAACTATTTGTTGATAGTGGAATAGTAGAAGTAGAATTCATGGCCGCTCATATCATATCTGAACATTTTAATGAGGATTTTGCAGAGAACCAGAACTCATTCACGTATGCTTTGATTGATCGGTTTGCTTCCGTAAAGCATACCGCAATTGCAGGGCTATAAGACGCTACTTTTTTCAAGTTATTTGAACCCTGTGGCAAATGTACGTTTTGTCAGTCGTATTAAATCCTTCCTCCATCAGCTGTTGATTTCCAGAGCTGATGTAATAGCGCACATTCCTGTTTCCGGGTGTGTTTATATGAACAACAGAAAGAACACAAGAAGGAGCAGGGCTTCTTTTTATGTGATTAGGACTGTTGTCAGAAGAGTTTATAAACTTTGAATTTTGGCTGAAGAGTTAGTAGGATATTCAAAAAGATTGAAGGTTGAGTGTTTGAACCATCATGAGTTAACAGAGCAACAGTTTGTTGTTAAATGAGCCTTGTTTTGCTCTATTAGTTACTATACTGTTACTATTTACTTTAAGAATGTTGCTGATGCAGTTATATAGGTGCGCTTAATAGTCCAGCAAGTGCTGTACTTTTTGAGTTTTTCTTCAACAATTGTTGAATTTTGGTTGACAGTTCAGTTTGTAATTGTTAACGTACCAGTTCTTTTGAAAAGATAAATGGGACATGGTTATGATTTACTCCTGGCAGATAATGATGAATGAAACAGCCCAGCAGAACATGGAGAATCATCCTGTGATCCGGACGCTGTACGACCACGTGGATGAAGTCACATGTCTGGCCTTCCATCCATCAGAGCAGATCCTCGCTTCTGGATCAAGAGACTACACCTTGAAACTGTTTGACTATTCGAAGCCCTCAGCGAAAAGAGCCTATAAATATGTACAGGTACCCTCAAGTTTATGTTTCTGTTTTTTGTCAAAGCAAATCATTTCCTTCAAATCTGTCATAAATGTGAATAGTAATAAAAGTGTTGACCTGTTTGTCTATTATATATATATATATATATATATATATATTATTTTTTCTCTTTAAAAATCCAGGAAGCTGAAATGCTCCGTGCCATTTCCTTTCATCCGTCTGGGGACTTCCTGCTGGTGGGAACGCAGCACCCCACTCTGCGTCTGTACGATTCCAACACGTTCCAGTGCTTTGTGTCCTGTAACCCTCTGGACCAGCACACCGACACCATCAGCGGCGTCAGCTACAACCCCTCCGCCAACACCTACGTATCCTGCAGCAAAGACGGCAGCATCAAACTCTGGGACGGCGTCTCCAACCGCTGCGTCACAACCTTCGACAAGGCCCACGATGGAGCCGAGGTCTGCTCCGCCATCTTCTCCAAGAACTCCAAGTACATCCTGTCGAGCGGCAAGGACTCTGTGGTCAAGTTGTGGGAGATCTCTACTGGTCGCACACTGGTCAAGTACACAGGTATGAAGAGCACTGGTGTTTATTTAGGCATGGCGAGTTTATATGTATAGCACAGTTCATACACAAGGCAACTCAAAGTGCTGACGTCAAAGGAACACAAGGCATTCAAATCATAAATGATCGCAGTACATTAAAACGAGTGAAGAGCTAAACAGAACAGTTTTAACCTGGATTTGAAGCCTGTCTAGCCTGATAGCCTGTCTCACATTTTCAGATTTTAGCTGCATAAATCTGAAACGCTGCCTCAGTATGTTTCCCCATATTTACTACTTTTCATATGAATAATACATTTTTATGAACATATACATTTTTGCTGCTAGCTTTGTCATTTTGTCAGTTACTCGGTCAATGCCAAATCTTTGTTTATCTGATTATTATGTCAAATAAATTATAAGAATTTCTACTGGAAAACGGCAGGAAACATTTATTTGGCTATTGTATGTAGATAAAACACATGAGTGAGCATAGAATCAGAGTGTTTACATCTCTAGATGTTTCTATTTCTTTATTGGAAAGTTGTAGTAGTTTTGGGAGTTTTTGACACCCATTTTTTGTCAAAATTCCTGAAACATCCATCCATGGTTCACTGCCTTGTCACTTTTCAACTGCGCGGTTTGATGTTTTTTCTTGTCATTACAAGGAAACATGAAACAGCCCTGCATCTATAGCCTGTCCGTTAGTGAGAGCATCCTTCTCTCAAACTCGCAACCCTTGGATTTTAGAGCTGTTCCGTACCGATGCAGGAGAGTCTAATGGCGCGTTCAGACCAAAAGCTTCAAAAAGCTTTTGACGCGCTTCAACTGACGCCGGGATAGTTTTGTCATTTTGGTGCTTGAAGCTTTTGACGCGAGTGACGCGCCTGACGCCGGTGGGAGGAGCTTCTCTGTTGCCTGTAGTCAGGACAGCGGTGGATTTTCCAGAGAGCAGCGAGCCTTTATTTGTTATTTAAAGCAAAATAACGTTGTTGTAGGGCTTCAACAAAACATGTTCTGGGTTCACCACAGACTTGAGAGGCTGCAGTGTTTGCAGAGTTCCGTCATTTACTCCAGGAGCTGCGTACGGAGGAGGCTCGCTTTCAGCGGTACTTCCGCATGTCACTCGCCCGGTTTGAGTTCTCAAACCCCGGAGCTCGCCTCTCCCCGGCTCTCGCTCGCCTCTCCCTGCCTCTCCCTGCCTCTCCCCGCCTCGCTCTCGCCTCTCCCTGCCTCTCCCCGGCTCTCGCCCGCCCGGAGCTGCCTTGCTCTGAGCCAGACTCATCGTCAGCCTGTTCTTATTTTAAATAAACTACGTTTACTACACAGCATGTGTACAATGATTTTGTTACTCAGAACGTTACTACTCATACAAATAATATTACTAATAACAATAATGACAATAAAACAACAGCAGCAGATACATGACTTCTCTCCATGACAGAGACAGACCCTCTGCTGCTGCTGCTCCTCGTCTCCTGATTGGTTGAAGCCCGCGTCAAAGCTTCAAAACCTCAGCTTTGCTCAACTTTGGCGTCAAAGGGATTGTTGTGATACGCGAGCGTTTCGCGCGTCAAGTGACGCCGGGGCTCTTGGCATCACCTGACGCGCTTCACCATTCACTTTCAATGGAAACCTGACGCTTTTGACGTCGAAGTTAAGTCCGGTGTGAACGCCCCTTTAGGACAATGATGACTATTTACTATGAACCAATGGCTCCTATGTGCTATATTCTTATTGTGTTTCCGGTGTTCGAACAGTTTGATTCTCTGATCTTGTGTAGTCCTCCAAGACGACTGCTGTTGGGATTTAGGGCAATACAAAATTAAATTAAATTTAAGGGAATTGAATAAACACTGCAGAGACCCCTAACCATAATAAATGTTTTAGTTTGAATCTCAATACCCTTTCTTCTCAATAGATGGTGCTAGATGACTAAAACCGTTTTACAGTCAAGATAATGAACAGACTTTAAGTGATAGTCTGTAACTCTAAATGAATTACAAATTTTAGGAAATGTGTTAAATTGACCTCCTGGCCTTAAATGTTGATATAAAATAAGTCATTTTATTAACTCTAATATTACAGGCAAGTCCCGCCTTCCCTGCTCTTAGCTATAGTTCAGAATCCACGGTGCCGTCGAGGTTAACCAATCGAGTCATGCCAAGGGCTGTCAATCATCGGCGCTGATGCTCGCAGCTGCGCGCATGCTCAGTTGTTTGTTTTCGCGGAGCCTCCGAATCAAGCCTCTATTAGACTCTGGAACTACATGAAAACTGAACAAAGAATTCTGAACATCCGCGCTGAGGTACTTATGTATATACTGAACCTATATCCATAATCAGATCCTCTGCAGATGTGTCCTATAATGTGCAATTCATGATAATAGCACTTCCTGTTTTGCCGCGATCACTTTTTTGTGTGCATAAAAACATATTTTTTTTCATTAAAACGTTCACAAATAATTCTGAAAACCTCCGTGCATGTGTATTAATAATGTATATGTATAATATCTAAGTGTCTATAAGTGTCTTGCCCAAGTTGTGTCCTTGGACAAGACACTTAACCCCACTTTGCCCAAAGCCCCCACTGAAAGATCAAGGCTATGCTCACTCTCAGAGAGCAGCCGTCCTCCTGTGGACTCACCACCTGCAGAGGGTCAGTGAGGGGCTGGTGCTATGAGACTTGGGTGGCATCTCTGACTGCCACCCCCCTGACCCAGAAATGGATTAAAGGGTAGAAAATGGATGGATGGATGTATAATATGTTCTCTGATTAACATTTCAAAGTGTTACGGAAACGTAGGTGTAGACCAATCAGAAAGGATGGGGGAGGGAGCTTGCGTCGTTTTTTTCAAATCAAGTATCTCTCTGTCTCACTTTCTGACAAACTCCAGACAATCACTTTAATGTTTATTTATTCACATCAATATAAGTGATGGGAAAGCAGAGGCTAACTTGATAACAGATGATTAAAATGTCTATATTTTTGCCTCGTAGGTGCGGGGTTGAGCGGGCGTCAGATGCACCGTACTCAAGGCGTGTTCAACCACACAGAAGACTACGTGCTGCTGCCCGACGAGCGAACCATCAGCCTCTGCTGCTGGGACTCTCGCACCGCCGAGAGAAAGAACCTCCTGTCTCTGGGACACAACAACATTGTGCGCTGCATCGTGCACTCGCCCACAAACCCCGGCTTCATGACCTGCAGCGACGACTTCAGAGCACGCTTCTGGTACCGCCGCACCACCACAGACTGAGCCGCCACAGCCTCCTCTGCTTTAGTATCTTTTATATTGATTTTGAGGTCACTCCCCAAACGACTTGTTAAGAAGAGAATCACAGAGCCTCATTTGTGATTACGACTGACTGTAAAGGGTTATTTTTTAATTTTTTTGTTCATGTCTTTTTTATGTCATTTTTAATAAACATTGAATGGGGACTTTTGATTGGTTTCAATTCATTTCTCGTAAAATCTTTTACATTCACGCTATGCTTTTGCTTTCCTTTGTTCCCTTCCCTCTATGTCCCAACGCTTTTATTGCTATTTTCTTTAATTAGGAAAAATAACTGTCAACAAGTACCCTCTTATTTTTAACATGCACATCTACACATCAAATAAAAAATACACATGCATTTTGGGCAGCCTTCAATCTTAAATAATGAACACACGTTTTAATCCTATGGTTAAAATAAAACAAAACTTCTTAACTTGATAGACTATGCGTGCATAATGTTTAGATGTATAAATACATTTTGTGTAATGATAAAAACAGTAAATGGGTTAATTGCAGCACAAACATGTCTTCAGAGTGAACTCCGACATGTGGGGCAGCATGCCTTTCCCTGCACATTCCCACAGTTGTGCAGCCTCTCTGGGGACCACCGCAGCCGGGGTCGTCCAGACAACAGCCACCAAAGGCCCAAGAATCACAGCCTTGAACAACCCCCATGAACTGCAGTCACAACAACTACACACAGCAAAACTATTACTTTTAATAATTGTATAGAATTAGTATTTTGTCTATTACTTCCACCATAAAAAGTTTGACAATTGAACTTATCTGGACAAGCTAGTGAATTCTTGCTCTCTGACAATGAGTATGTATGCAAGGGCTTAGTGTGTTTTCTCTTTGACAATTTGTTCCTTTTTTTTACATTTTATTTGGCATATTCTGATAATTCTGATAAATAAGAGGAAATATATGAAAACCACAGAGTTTCATATGGAAGACTAAAAAACTGTCTTGACTTCTGCAATTGCCATGATGGTAGAAGTCAGCAGTGGCTTGAGGAATTGTGCCGGTGGGAGGGGCCACCACTGGTCCCGCCCTCTGGTGTTTATTGACAGTTTCTGAGCCTGGCTCTTTGGTGAAGAGCACAGAAGCTGACATGACTATGTAGGAGTCCATGACATCAGAGAAGGGACTGAACTTCAATTTGTGCAGCTTTAAAAATGGTGAGTACATTATATTTCTCTACATCTACTTTTCACTTATTTTTCCAAAGTGGGTCAGTGAGGGATCAACACTGTAGATTTTCTTTGATGTGCTTTCATGTGTTACACTGTTGAAAACCATCAAAGCTTTTTTCTCACTACTCACAGAACATGTACAATAATGTAATTTGGAGTGAGACCATGTATTTTCCTTTCAGAATGAGTGTTTAAATGAGTTTAGTTATCAGTTATAAATCGTTAACCACTCAAAACATATATAGATAATGTACAAGTGTATTCACAAAGTATCCAATGCTTTTCATGTTTGAGTGTAGCAGACCCAGAGGGACTGCCAAATGTAATATGTATTTATTGATTACTTACTTGTTCACAAAGAAGTTCACATGTCGGTGGTTTGATAGTTTGGTCATTGAATAAAGTGGGTCAGTGCTTTCATTTCCCTTGTTCTGCCAGCTCTGTTCTGTGCAGGTTGTAACTGGAGAACCCTGGTCTGAACTTTATGAGCCTCATTAACACTGCTCTTTAGAAATAAGCTGCCTGTGCCATTAACACTGTGGCGAGTGGAACTGCTACCACGCTTCACCCTTAACTATTTAGACCATACATGAGCCGTGATAAAACAAATAATAATCACTTTTAACCAAAAACATTGGGGCACTCTGGTGGTCTGGTTCACTCTAACTGGACCGATGCTGGTTCACTTGGGGGAAAAAAGTCTTTATCGGATGTAAAACAAAACCAAGCAAATCAATATATTTCCACTAGTTACTTTAGTCAGGGCGACAGTAGCTCAGTTGGTAGAGCATTGGCCTTTGGGCCTGAAGGTCGTGGGTTTGAGCCCACCGTAAGACCTACTTCACGACTCCCACTGATGACTGCTGTCGTTGTGTCCTTGGCCAAGACACTTAACCCTACTTTGCCCAAAGCCCCAACTGAAAGATCTCAGCTCCTGTGGACTCACCACCTGCAGGAGGATCAGTGAGAGGCTGGTGCTAAGTGTACTGGGTGCAGCTCTGACTGCCACCCCCCCGACCCAGAAATGGATTAAGGGGAAGAAAATCGATGGATGGATACTTGAGTCAGTTTACAAGTGAACAAAACTTGGTCCCATTAATGTCCAGACCAACAAGCGAATGTAAAGTGTAACTCTCAACACTCTAAGTACTTTTACAGCATTGCTCAAATTAATATTTAAATCAGTAGAAAAAAGCTGGGAAAGTGAGAGGGCAGGCACATGACCTTTGTGTGTACGGTGTTTTCTTATATACCTCGGATGCAAAAGACTAATTTCTCCATCTGGAAACAATAAAGGCTTTTCTTATCTTATCGCAGTATTGCATTTGCCCAAGTGCAGTGATGCAAGTAAGTTTGGAGACCGGATGACAAAATGCCCAGCCTCATCATGAGGTCTATTTAAAGCAGATGAGCCATCAGAGAGAGGAAATGCCTCATCTGACAGTTTCCCATGAAAAGCACCTCGATCATGTGGTGCTTTTATTTCTTCAAATTAATCAAATGCATGATGATTGAAAACTGTGTGTGACAAAGCTATAATTGCTTGTATATAATGTTATGCATTAATATAGGTTAAAGATGTTTATTTTACATTTAGTGGAGGTTTACTATATGATTCTGTGCCCATTACCCTAACCCACAGCCGTGATAGTAAGAGAATAGATGTTCACCGTGCATTATAACCACAACCAATAAGCCTGAAAGCATCTTTGTGGTTGACAGGAAATGTAAGAAATTTGCAAATATCAAAGAGCATGTGTTTGGTGCACACACTGGACTTACACATGATCTAATGCAGGGATGTTAAAGTCAAATACATCAGAGGGCAAAATGAACATATTTAGTACAAGCAGAAGGCCGGATCAGTTCAATGTTTATGAATACGTATTCGATGGATTGGATATAATCTATTGAACCAATAAGTGAAAACATCACAGCCTTAAAGACAAAAACAAACTTCCTTCAAAGAGAAAACATATATGTCCTGAACATTGAATTAAGAATCCAACATTTTCTTATGGCTCTGTGCGGGATCGTTTCAATACTTATCAAATATCATCCCAGGGACCAAGATAATTCATTTGGTGGGCTGGACTTTGGACTGGACTTTGACACCCATGATCTAATCTAATGTGTCAGTGTCAGACAGGACATTGCAGAAACCATCCATCCATCCATTAATTTTCTACCCCTTTATTGGTCAATTTCTGGGTCGGAGGGTTGCAATCAGAGCTGACACCCAACACTTATAGCACCAGTCCACCTCTGATCTGGCAGGTGGTGGGTCCACAAGAAGATGGCTGCTCTGTCCGCGGTCACACAGCTTTGGTGTCTCAGCAGAAGCTTCAGGCAATGTGGAGTTAAGTGTCTTGCTCAGGGACACAATGACAGCAGTGGGAGCTGTCACAGTAGGTCTCGTGAGGGAATCGAATCCACGACCAAATGCCAATGCTCTACCAACTGAACCACTGCAGAAACATGAGAATGAATGCTGTTATAAACCAAAACTATACAGTTATGACAAAAAACACCACTATTTTTCCTTCCTCTTGAATTTGTTCCTCATCTTTGAGTTTTACTGAAAACTCACACATTTATTGAATGACACACACAGTTTATCACAAAAAATGACACAACATTGAGACCATATGTTAATCTTCAAAGGGAAATGACAATGGAAAATGAATGGATGTCCTCGGGGCCATTTGGCACATTTCACACAAAACTAACTAACTAGCTTCAAACACCCGCTTTTAAGAGCGTGTCCCCAGATAATCATGTTCAAATGTTATGAATATATGAAGTTGATTTCCTCTAGCTTCAGCTTCAACATTGTAATTGGCCATTCAACTTTATGTGTATTAATGCTGTAATAAACCAAAAGTATACAGTTGTGACAAGAAAAACACCACCTATTTTTTACATACAACTTTATGTGTATGGCACTCATATCTGGCTACTTGATGGAGGGCAAATTTTAAGCCTTTCACATACTTTACTAGTGGAACTTTTTATGCAAAGGAACTGTTCATATGTTTTCTGCTGGTGACTGTAACACTAATTTATTGTTAATTACATAAACATTGTCCACGATATACACATGCTACAGTTATGTTACAAAAAGCAGAATGAGGCTCGCTTGAATTGACTAATCTTCATCTCATATTGTGTCAAATTTCACTTGCAAGTTTTAGTACTTTTTTATGTCAGTAAGAGCACTTTTACACCTGATCCCTTTTCTTTCTATGGCAAGCTATTAATAGCCACAATCCTGAAAGAAGCTCCTACCATCAAAGTAGCAACATGCATCAAATACATGCACCAGCTCCAGGGGGAAAAAACACCTTAATGTCAGACACACAAACATTGTGATCGAGCTAACCCACAAAACTTTACTTCAAATGCTACATCAGGTTCCATCTCTGTTCAAGCTATTTCTGTCTTCTTCCTCTAAGCCTCTCTATCGTCTAAGTTAGTATTGGGAAACAGTTCTCAGACGACAGAGACAGGAAATGCCAGCAGGACTGTGGTGTTATCAGAGCCACTTTTTCTTGTTAGTTTGTTTGTCATCTCTTTCTCCCATAAATTGTTGTATATGTACATGTATCTTGCTTCATGTTCTTTGATGACAAAGCCACATTTTTTTAAGTCAGCCTCTGAGCCTTGGTCTTGTAGAGAGACGACTGTGGTGCAGATAAGCTTCAGTCTTGGATGTTTGACCCAGGGGTCACGCTGTCGCTGCTGGACGTGCTGATGAAGTCCTCAGACCTACAATTTTGATAGGTCTGAGGACTCATTGGCTTCATTTTGAAATTAGATTATCATTCCCAGGGTCAATAAAATAACATTGTGTCGACCATTGCAAGTTCCATGCTCCCGTTTGATTTATAGATATTGGCTATTTCAGCTGGTGAGAGAAAAAGTTGAGGTGAAAAATCCTGAGTAAATTAATTTGTTGAACATGGTCACTGATTGCAAACTGATTGTTTCTGTATTGTCCTTGTTTGATGTAATGGATTGTGTTTAAAGAAACACATACAAGCTGCAGTTAAAGACCCAGTGTTGTTATTGTGAGTGTCTCTGATGAGTAGATCTGCTGAAGACACAGCTGTGCAGTCAAAGCAGTGCGCAGGGCAGCTGTCTGCATCGGCACAAGCACAAGCATAAGCACAAGCAGGCATGTGCCTCCACCTCCCTTCATCTCAGCAGAGACGCGGCTGCCACACTCACCCAGGCCCAAAGCCCACACTGCGGCCGGCCACAGAGCTGGTAAAGCGTCCTCAAGTGCATTTCTCAGGAGGGCAAAACTGCAGCTGATCTCAGCCCACGGCTCCAGGATTAGTCAGGGAGTGTGTGCTTTAGCACAGGCCTGTGCCACGACAGGTGCAGAGCGTGTGCTCCTCTGATGGTCAATGGGCTCTTTGTTACATAAATACACCCAAACACACCCCGCTGGGCCATGGTATATCTAATGTTTACTGCCACTTTGCCATACTTCTAATGTCTGCATTGCACAAGATTCATGAACAAATTAAGATGGAGACATTCTGAAAAGATATATATTTTATTATATTAGCTTCTTTGTAAACAAAGACACAGTATCCTGAACGTGGGTACTAAAGGTTAAAGGAGCAGTATGTTAAAAGTCTGGCCAAAAGTGGTACTGCAACCTCTCCCACTCTTCCAGACTCAGGTTGCCAGATACGCAAACAAATCCAGCTGGGAACATAATATCTGAATAAACAAGAGTTTTGTCAACAACAAATCTAAAACCAGCACCTTTTGTACAAAGGCCCCGATAGAAAGCTTTTATTTATTCCTTGTTTTGTCAGTAATGATTTTAGAATCACAACAAGATCCTTTTTTAGTTCTGTGGCCACATGTTACTTAGATTAGCTCAGCGCGGTGCGTTATGGCAACCCGGATCACAGACTTTCTGACTGATAACACGCGTGGAGGGCGGGACTTTGAAATGAAAACAAAAACAAGATTTATAGGCTGTAAAACTAATTTTGAAATCCAAATATCTCGGCTGAACTACTGTTATCAGTTAAAGAAGTATTCAAAAATAGCATGGTTTCTTAAGGCCTTTTGACATATTAGGGCCATCACTTGACAGGAAAATCTGACTTATTGCAACTTTAAATGAATGCACAAATGTTAAAACTATGGGTGGTTTGTGAGAGCGATACATTTCTATTACGAACTCTACCTCTTCTGTATTTTTTAATTAATGAATATTATCAATTTAATCTGCTTTTTTTCTGCAGATGACATTGGCCAAAGCTTTGTACGACAACACTGCCGAGTGTCCTGATGAGCTGGCATTCAGGAAGGGTGACATCCTGATGGTGATGGAGCGGAGTGTGGAGGACACCAGCGGCTGGTGGATGTGCTCCCTCTATGGCCGCCAAGGTCTGGTCCCTGCAAACCGCTTGCGTCTCCTGTCTCCAACCCCAGAGCGTCCCACTGCTACCCTAAGTCCTATGAGGAACTTAACGCCTCCATCAAACCAACGCATTATTACTAACAATGTACAAAACATCTACCAGATCCCCATTGCAACCAAACCCAACAGCAGCGAGCAGACAGAGCTGCTTTACAAGGTCCCATCCATTCCCTCTACACCCAAACTATCAGCCTCAAAGCAGAACAGCGAGGAACAAGAGGAAAAGAAGGTAAGAAATAGCTTTTACCAAGTCTAAATGTCTCATTTGCACACTGACTGACATGGTTTTGAACATTGGCATTATTATTTCACATGCAAATCTGAGAGGGCTAAAAATTGTAGTCATTTATGAAAGTTGTGGTACACACGTATACAAAAATATATCACACAAAGTTTTTTGGAAAGGGCGCTGTTGCTTGAATAAGGTCATAGAGGTAATAACTAGACATCTGCGTGTGGATTCTCTGACCTCACCAAAAACAGCTAATCTTAATGTTGCAATCTATATATTTATTTATTTTAAATCTAGAAAACTTATTTGTGTGTCGTTTTCAAAATAATTACCAGTATAGATATTGGATAAGAGGTTGCAGGTTTGATTCCACTGGTCAGAGACTTTGTGTTTGTATGTTTCTCTGGGTGGTTTCCTCCAGGTGCTCCGGTTTCCCCTGTCACACCAAACATGCAGAATAAGTCAAATCCTTAGTATGATCCTCCAGCAAAAGGATCAAGGGTCAAAGTACACTATTTCCCTAATGGGACAATTGCTTGCTTGCAATTGACGTCACGTCCGCCTCATTACATATGCGTATCACGGACTGGTGGTCAGCCGACCTAGTTGTTCACTAGAGCAGCGTGTCTGAATATGCCTTTCGTATGTGTTGTTTTAAGTTTTCTAACCGATCAAATTGTGAAACCTTTAATGGAAATTTCCAGGATTCCTTGTGAAGAGATGAATAAAGAGCCTCGCACTAAGGACTTTACGAAAAGACGCAGGAAAAGTGGCTAGCTAACAATTCACTAGCAAACGCTTTTACCTCTAAGGATTAATTATGTACCCAGCCATGGAGTCACAATGCACAGTTATTACATCCCCATCTTTATTTCATTCATTGTCAGGTATAAGTCGGCGTTTTAAATATACACTGAATGTTTGACCAGAAAAGAACACAGCCACAGACGCATTGTTTTGTTGAGAATGACAAGTTCATTCACCAATCGTTACTTACACGGCTCTGTACGATGCAGGATTTGTCCTTCAGGACCTTAAAGAGCGACTAAACACCTGTGCCCAGCCTTACTCCGCCCACATGAAGATTTGAAAATTTTCTCTAAAAAGGGCGTTGCCTGGAGGACCAAGAGACAAGAAGGGGGGCTTAGAGTTGGGCGTGGTCTGGGCTGTGATTGACAGCTCACTTGTCACACAAAAAAAAAAACAGACAGTTGTCATGTCTGCTTAAAGCAATAGTTTACAGACCAGAAAGTCTCATTCCATCCTTGTTTACACACTAAGATAATTGTAAAGCTACACACCTGAACTTAATCACACTCAATAATCTCAGAATGACTCATGTAATTTAATTTTAATCCACTAGATGGCGCCAGAATACTCCAAACTGCAGCTGGGGCGTGTGTGAGAGTTGAATGGGTTCACATCACTGGCTCTGACAGACTGACGTCACACAAAACAACTGATGTCATAGAGAACTTCAGAGTCAATGGAGAGGCCAGAACCAAATTCAAATGTAGTACCACCAAAAAGGTTGAGAGGGCGCCACACAGCGTTTTTTGGCTCAAAAGTGATATTTTATCTAATTTGAACTAAAATGTCAAAAAAATGACCAGGATATGTATACAGCACTACAATAAACATACTTATGCAGTTTATGAGTTAAAAAAAAAATTATTTGGTGTTTAGTCGCTCTTTAACTCTGAGTTCCTGAACCCACAGACAGACGAAAAAGTTGCAGTATCCGTGTTTATCCAAACCTTCAGTTGTTTAGCAGTGCAAAAGCTGTCCACCACTTCGTCAACCGGAAGTTTATGCGTCACGTGACTGCAAGCAAGCAATAAAGTATCAATTATTCCTTAGATATAGAACCCTGCAAATGTGTCAGTAGTCAAGTAATAATTCTTTTTGAGGTGCACAGAAATGCAGCGCGGTTGCCCCCTGCCGTTAAACCACTTACAGATGTGAGCGGGTTCCTCTTCAGCGGGACAGGCACGCAGCACAGGGGCTTTATGACGCTGTAAAACACACGCAGAGACAAACTTCAGACACTTTTTTTTTACTGCAACCAGCAACCCACCAAAGGAATAGTGTAGTGCATGAGGAGGCCGATCGCACAAAGTAAGCTGGAATATACTCACTCCTCTGTTGCTCACCAGGGGGCCATCTCCATCTGTTCTAGCCTTTCCCATTATACTGTAACCCTGGACTCTATACACGCATGGCTTTGATTATACTGCTGTGTTAATTGGACATGGGTAGTGGGGTCCTCCAGGTTACAGCAAGCTTCAGAAAGAACACTGTCCCCATAAACATCCCAGGTACAGGGCAGAAAAGTAAATAATGCTTTGATCAAAGAGGTGAAGGGAGAATTCCTGGTCTCAAAAGGTTCACCTTTTTGTTTGTAGGCTTTCAACATGGCTTCGTTGTCCATAGAGGAGCTTTACGATGTCCCAAGCCAATTGAGACGGAGGTCCCTCTTCCCTGTAAGCCACTGTAAAGTCCAAGAATTACTCACTATTTAAACTGTCTTGTAATTTGTGTTCATTTGTGTCGTTAGGTATCGACTGCACCACGGATGTCATTTCGCAAGCACTCCCTCGTGCCAATTTCAGAAATGCAGAGAAGGTTCAACATACCTGAAATATTGAAGGACTCTTGTGTAAGTGATGTTTGCTTACTTATAGATCTGGTAATGCATTTACAGCTGGAGTCATGAAATATAATAGAGCTCTCAACTATCTCATCCATAATTTAACACATCATTATTTTCCTGCTTCCAACATTTCACAAGCCTCTGTACAGTGTGGTGTGCAATGCAAGAGAACGTATTTTCATAATTAATTTAAGACAAAATTGAGATTTGTTATATAAGTTAGGGAGGTGCACTGCACAACTTTCTCTCCATTTTATTCAAGGAAGATTTCTTGGAATGTATCTCAGTATACCCTTACATTATTATAAAATTATATGCATGGGTTTCCCTAATTTTTGGACTATAAGCCACACCTGATTATAAGCCGCACTTATCCCCCTTTGTAAAATTTAAAATGTTAGATCAAAAACGTTCATCATGTCTTCTTTTTACTGTGAGTAATAAGAGTAAGAGTAAGAAGTGAGCGGCTGTAATCTTATTATCATGTCTATACAAAAAACCATAACGTTATTTTTTACATGAAATATTTACACATAAAGATATGTGATGACTTTTAAACTTTATCTATTCTGCTTGAGTGACAAATCATACAATTTAAGTGGATCTCTGTGAACTACTCACCAATTCTGTTGGTCGACTGTTATTGGCAAAATGTTTTTGGCGCCAGGAAAAAAATACATATATTTATGTATTGCAAAAGAAAACCTGTCAGCTCTCCTCTTTACAGATATGGCATTTACTGTATATTGACCCAAGCAAAATCTTACCCCTCCACCAGGAAATACAAAAGAAACATTTCTGAAAGCCTAAAATTGAGAAGAAATAGCCACATTTTAGAGGAAATAATGACATACAGTCCCATCATACAGCGAACATTTGTGGTGTGAGGATGGAAGTAAAAACAAAGTCATGTTGCATGAAGAATGATCAGGAGCATGCTCAAATAAATCCATGCAAACTCTAATGTGTATATATCTCCTCACAGATTTACGATGTTCCACCCAAGTCACCACAGGACCCAAACTACAATATTCGCGTCCCAGATGGCGCTAAGAATGCAGCCATCAGCGGGTACAGCACGATGCCAAAGCTCCAGAAGCCTGAATGTATCTACGATGTTCCTCTGAGCACTGATAAACAAAGTCCTCCTCAAGTCTTTCCAGAGTTTTCTTCACCAGAACGTAATTTAACATCAGAACAGCCGCTTTATGACACAATTCCAGCACGGACAAGCCCTTCCCGGAGAGGCCAAAAGTCACCTCTAATGTACAATGTTCCCAAGTCCAGCTCTCTTGACAGCCCTCCCACTTTGCCGCCAAGGATTCCAATTCTTTCAAGACAACTGAATACTGAGCAAGAATCAGTATATGATCTTCCATCTGAGGAACACATTCCTCTAGAATGTAGGGTTGAACCATGTGAAGCAGATGCAAAGATTAATGTATATCGAAGGAAGACGTGTCTATCATTGCGCAAAGGTTCAGGTAACTATCGGCCAATGTCACTTGATACAAATGAAAACCAAAGTTTCAAAGAAAATCAACGCATAAGTACGTCTTCCAGCTCCTCAAGCAGCTCTTGCGACTCGCTGGCCCTGTCGTCATCTTCACCAGAACCTTTGAGGGAAGTATTTGTACGACAGGATGAAGTCTGTTCAAGACTTTTGGATCTTCAGGATGGAGTTTGCAAAGCAGTTCCCCAGATCATGAAATTTGTCAGCAGTGGATGGAGGAGTAAAAACCATATGGAGAAACATTTGGAAGAGATCAAGGAAGCAGCAGTAGAAGTAGCCTCCTCGCTCAGCCGCTTTCTTAGCTATGCCCTGGACATTAAAGGCAATGCTCGCAGATTAACCGATGCTAATCTGCAGGCAAGACTCTACAAACAGCTGTGTGTGGTGGAGGACTCAGGAGTAGTACTTCAGCAAACAGTGACAGCCTTGAACGTGGCTGGCTGGACTTTAGATCTGTTGAGTCAAGACCCAGGCCAGGCACAAACACCAGACCAACTGGAGAGGTTTGTCATGGTGGCACGGACCATTCCTGAAGACGTGAAGCGCCTAGTGTCTATGGTTAATGCCAACGGAAAGCTCCTGTTTAAGCCTGCACAAAAAGATTTAGAAATATTCCACATTTCAAGCCCACCTGAGGTTCCAGACATATGTGACCAGGAAGTGAACGAGGGGGACGATGACTATGTGGAGCTACAGGTGAATGGATGCTGAATATTGACACTTTGTAAATGGCTTTTTCAAAACTGACTGTTTAACCTCTTTTTATTTATTAGACAAAAACTGATTTTGTAAATCGGCAAGAGGAGGTAAAGAAAGATGCCAAAGAAAATGTCCCTGTGTCATCAAGCGATGTATTGGTGAGTACCAAAGCAAGGCAAAGCCAAATAATCATTTAATTTGTTGTCTGTGTTGTGACTTGTGAATAAAAAGCATGTGCTTGTATTTATTAAACTACATGAATCTTGTTCTGCATCTCTTCGAAATGTTCAGTTCAGATTTATGTGTCGTCTGAGGAACTCTATTAATGGGATTGTTAAGACTCTCGTCAGCCCCGAGTTCTGCTCACTGCTGTTCACCTCCAAATTATGGACTTACTGGAGGTTATGCCTTTATACTGTTCAGCAGCTGTAATGTTCTCTTTTTGTTTTGTTTTCTTGTATATATTTTTTCTTTGGTTTTTTAACTATGGACCGTGTTGTATTGTGTCCTTAATAAAGATTAATAATAATAATAATACATGACATTTGTTATTTCTTGTATTCTTAGCATGATCAACCGAGTTTGCCCGAGCAACGAGCGGCATCCCTCTCAGAGCACTGCCGGTTGTACTTCGGGGCTCTGCAGAAGGCTATTGGGGGGTTTGTCTCCAGCCTCCAGGACGGCCAACCCCCAGAGAAGTTTATCTCCCAGAGCAAACTGGTGATCATGGTGGGCCAGAGGCTGGTGAACGCACTCTACAGAGAGGCCCAGCCCGGAGAGTCCCGCCAGAGTCTCTTGTGTAAGAGTAACCACCTGTGCGCGCTTCTCAAACAGCTGGCCGTGGCCACAAAGAAGGCCGCGCTGCACTTCCCAGAGCCGCAGGCCGTGGGCGAGGCGCAGCAGTTTGCCCACGAGCTAGCTCAGCGCGCACAACACCTACGCCAGTCACTGGAGCTCTGAGTTTACAGCAATAACCAGAGACCAAACCCAGGACTCTTCTTTTCATTCATTTGGAACATTTCAATTATTAATTATTGATCATTTCAGTCTGAGTTACGTTGAGGGACTTGGTGGTATGTCTATTGATGATACTTTTTGTACTACGGCGACTGTGTAGGCTTTACTGTATTTGTAAAAAGTTATGCATATTTATTTATAGCATTTTTATTATTCTCACAGCATGTATGATGTCAAACTTCTCTTGTCTATATGCATTCCCATCTTTTGTTGACAAAAGATCCCAAAGAGTTTGTTTGTTTATTCTGATTTAATTGTGCACAAGCCTGATATTGTTATTTGTATAGAATAAAGAATAACAATAGTGATTCACCTCAATTTACAGGTAAAGAAAAGATTGGTTTAAATATCTGTAAAAACAAGTGCTTTGGATGTGATTTTTTTTTTTCACTGAATAAAATATTCAAATCACTCATCACATAAAGCAAAGCCAATTTGATGGTGGTATTTTGAGTGCAGATTGGTGTATTTTGTTGTTCCAGTCAAAATGTTCTTGTTTCTATCCCACATTATTCCCCTGCTGGTGAAGACAAAAACTGCACCCTCAGGAAATTCTCGACCTACAGTAGTGTGAACACACCCTTAACATGCCCAAGAATTGTTCTATGGCTAATGTGATTTAGGCTTATCCAGACAGATCGCAGATAATTATCCACAGACAGCAAAGGATAGAAGTTTTAATGTAAATTGATATATGTGTGTGATTACAAGTATTTAATACAATTATAACAATGTAGAGTGGCAATGCAAACTTTGTCATGTGACAGACACAAACAGAGCTTTGGTTCACATTCCTCCTTCACATTTTCCCCAAGACAATAATAAACTTAATGAGCAGTCATCATCGCACTGGATCATGTTCCTTGTTTGCTTGGATTGGACTTTTCATTGGAAAAATGAATTATAAGGTTTAGGTATTAAATCAGATGTATTCATTCATTTTTCACCCACACAAGTGTGTGACATTGACTTTAAGGCTTGAGGGTTCAAATTAATGTTGTTGCTACTGAGCTATGTCCTAGCACTTCCCTGACAAAACTCTTCAAAAGATTGGTTGATATTCCAGTATAAATTTGCATTATATTTCTATCCTATAGTCATGCTATACAAGGTAAATGCTGATAATAATCCCTTTTGTGGAGAATGATTACTTAATCTGCTATTTCTGCTTAAACACATTGTTTCTTAGTCAATTGTAAATTTAAATTGAATTGATTCAGTGGCACGTAACACATGCTCTTTGGAAATAGCTACTTGTTAGAACAACTCTCTTTGCCATTTTACCCTAACCCTCTGCTGCTAACACAAAGTTGCCATTGAGGCACTTTGACAGTGTCATCCAACCAACTTCATCTCCACCGATACAGTCATGCTATACCTGGTTGTAAATCTCAGACCCTCTGGAATCCAGTTGTTGACTCTATTGTTCTTTACTGACATTTGTTTTATGATTGTGTCCCAAAATTCCAAAGAAAATGCAGCTGCGGTGTGAATCAATGATGTCAAGTCTGATGAACTAAAGTGGCCCTCCTACTAAAAAGTTTGGACACCCCTGCGTTAGTTTAAAGGGCTGTGTCTTAGTTCAAGTGATTAAATCATCTTTAGAAATAAAAATCATTGGCGGATATTGTAATTGTATGGCTCATCAGAATTACCAATAGGTTGTGTTCATGTTGTAGAACTATATTTCAGAGGGCAGGTGCAAATTCAATTACATGGGAAAGAAGCAACTGCTGATAGAAAGGTTAAACAAGAAAATTTTTGAACGTTTTTCCTAGACCAAACCTGCAATATTATTCTTACGTCTCATAGTCCTTTCTAGTGGTCATATGTTTTTGAATATCGTCATCACCATAGTTGATTTGTACTGACTAAAAGCCATGGAATTACAGAGACATTAACTATATACTAAGACTAGTCTGACTTTTGAGTTACCAGGAATGATTTTTGAGCTGTCCTCCACAACTCCAAACTATAGGCTTGTTGGAACACAACCTATTCAGTACTTGCTGGACTTTTAGCTGTCCCTTCTTTTCTTATGACTCGGGGCCTATATAGTGATGTGGCCAGTATGTTTTTATGTTGTTTTTATATATGTTTTTATATTGTTAGCTCCTGTCGGAGACATAAAAATCTGTACCTTTATACTCAAGTGTGTCCTGTATGTTGTCACAAGCTGGCTTGTGGCAAATGTGGAGAAAAATAATAATTTATTTTCAAATTTAGAAGGTAAGGTTTATATACTGTGTGCTTAATTGTCCAGCAAGTACTAATATTCATTAAAAAACATATATATATATATAATATGTATAATAAATGGTGAATAGTTTGAACAGATGTAGATAGTTTGAACAGATGAAATAGATGTCTGGATAAACAGTGTGATCATGTATTTTCTTCTTTAGTTTTAAAATGCAGGTAAACTTGTGACAGACAATCAATATTACTGCCTCACAGTATACAGACGCAGAGAAAAGAGACTTCACGTCTGGAACGCACTGAAACTGTCTGCTACATTCAAGTGGCTCGGGGCAGGGCTGCTTAGTGTGTTCTGCTCCCGTCCTTGTTGCTGCGGCGACCCTCCCGTCTGGAGGCTGGGCACAGTTCAGTCTCTGAGTCAGACTCGGCCTCTGCAATAAAAGGCCGCACGGTGGCGCAGCGTGGCCGAGTCGGCGAGATGGAGAAGCCACTGAAGGAGCGCTCCAGCTCCTCGTGATCCACGGAGGGAATAGACGCCGAAGACCCACTGTCGGCCTTCTGGTCATCATCGTTGGCTCCGCCCCTCTCAGTGCGCTCACGGTGTGTTCGGGATGCGGTGTTTGCAGGAGGTGGGGGCAACCTCACCAGAGAGTCACTCACTGGACTACTGCCATGGCTGCGTGGCCAGGTGGGCAGAGCATGCGGGAGATTGTTGCTGATTGGCTGCAAGGATGAAGAGGGAGGGCAGGAGGGCGGTGGGCAGCTGCGATGAGCTGTGGAGCTACTAGAGCGGACCATTTTTGAAACATTGCGCGAAGACACACTTTCCCCAGAATTGACCCTGGAAGACAGCACAACCTTAGTCAGACCAGAAGGACTTGTCTTCAATTTCATTCTAAATATGGCTCGATAAGGTTCATTCGGCCCTTTGATAAGCACTACTTAAAATGTTGTAGGTGTGAAAGAACTTACTGGAGAATCTTGGGCACGGATTGGCTCTTCTCCAAATGGCCCACAGGACTGTGGTACGGAGGTGCTGGGTCTGGTTCTTTAGATCTGAAGTAGGCATCTGTCTCAGACTGTGGAATCCCCATTCTCTGGATGTAGATATTCACTAGAAAATCTAGCTTTCGTTCCATTGAGTGAACCTGAGTGAAATGTTTAAGCAGTAAATATATTAGAATCATAGAAAAAAAATCTTGGGACAAAGTAAGATGGAAAACGTAACACCTGTTTTTCCACCTTCCCCAGGCGCCCCATCATGCTTGGGTCTTCCGGCAATTCTTCATTGGGTTTGGGTCGATCCTTGTCTGTGATGGGTGTGCCTCGCCCCACTATTTGGTCCACTCTGAAAGCCAGACAATGTGATGTCATTTCCAACCATGCTGGTGATTATAGTCAATGATCTTACCTGCACTGGAGGTTCTTGATGCGGGCCAGCATGTCCAGGTGTCCAGCAGAATACTGCTCAATCACATCCATCACATCGTACGGCCGCAAACTTTCTTTAAATTTTCTCTTGGAAACTAAGAAACGCATAATGCTGTAGAGACAGAAGACATTGTCAAACGTAACATAAAGTGTTTCCTGACACTTCAGGAGCAGAAGAATTGTTTATTGGATCAGCTATAGACAGTTCATACAAATTCCTAATATGCATAATCCATTTCTTTGAATCCGTTGTGAAATGCAAGCAGTAAAATGGATAAATGACAAAGCTGAAGATAACAAATTTATGACAAAAACAATGAGTGAATTTACACAATAATTAAATTGTAAATATTGAAAGTAAAATGCAGAAATACATCAGTTCCAGGTCCCAGCGTTATGCAGAGTGTATGTTGGGGTCTGAGACTGAGCTTTGTGAAAGCAAACAGCGACAAATGTCTTACCAAAAACTGAAAGCAGTGAAAAAACAGAAAATGGATGCCACAGCACACGCTGACCAGTGACTTCAGACGTTTGGCCCTAGGGTGAGCATAAATAAAGTGATTCAAATAAGCAGAAAAAGGACAAGCAAAGCTGAACATGACTCATGTTTACATAAAAATGGGTTTTGGGAGAAAAAAAAACCAAGATAAATAATATGCATTGTAACAATGATTACTGTGAGGTCAAAACGTAATGGGAAGTTATTGTGTGGCAGAAAGGGAGGGATGTGACATTGTGCTGAGGAGTTTTAAACAAGAACTGAGTGTGGACTGTACCAAATAGCTCTGATAGTGGCCTTTAAGCCCGGGGTCAGGTCTTGAGGGACAAACTCACAGTGGCAGCTTTTATTATCATCTGCCATGTCTTCCCCAGGCAGACTGGCCTCTGACAACAACACACAACAGCATTACTTCACACTAACACAAAGTACTCATGTGAAACATGCAAACAAAATGTCCATATCCAATAACAGCTAGGTCCATTGATCTATAATGTCATGCCTCACAATTGAATGATCAACCAAGTAATCCAGGACAAGTGACCAATTAGAATGGAGTATTTCCTACTATGGACCATGTGTGCATCTGGTTAAAAAAGGTTTAAGCCATGAGACTTTATCAATTATTACCTGGGTAACATGTTGGAATACATTCAGACAAACAAATAACAATCAAAAGAACAAAACGGAGGGATGTCTTTACATTGCCATGGTCTGCCAATGTAAAAGATTGACATGAAACTTGAGACTATTTGTCCTCCTTCTGGCCCATTTTGTGCAGAGGTTTTTGTCTCAGAAGTGTGTTGTTGATGAGTGTGATCTAACCTGGCGAGCTCTTCTGTCTGAACTCTTCATCCTGCATCTCTATGAGCACTACGGCAAGCAGAGGAGGACAAAAGGGACTGTCAGGACTTCTGAAATGTATGCTCAGAAAATCTATTCTCATCTTGTAATCCAATCGTGAGCTATAATCAGGTTTGATGAGACAATTATCCACATTGTTAGCCTTTTCTGAGCTTCTATAACAGGGGAAAAACAGTTTAGCAACAAAAAATATATAATTGGGCCACAAAACAGCAACAGATACTGAACTGTTATCAAGAATGTATGATCTCAAACACAGACACATCCAAACACAGCAACAACACCAGGGTACAAAGATACTCATCTGATTAAATAATCTGATTGATTCAAATCAAATTACTATCTTTCCCAATTTTAGTATTCTACACAAGTGCAAACACATACACGATACAACCTGTCCGTATTTGCCATCCTCTACCTCTCTTAATATATGTCAATAGCTTCTATTTGTTTTTGAGTTGGGGACGAATAGTAGAACCACATGACCACAACATCGCACAGACAGAGAAACACAAACACTGGAAACATCACACAGAACACACAATGGATGTAGCCTGAGCACCCATGCAGTATCAGCATTAAACATAGTTCAAAGATTCACATGTTTAATGTCATGTACAAAACTGAACTGCCCTCCCACCTTCTGAGTTCTGTCTGGATGCAGCACCCCGGAATCTGAAGGGCTGCCGTGTCCGGCTGCGCTCGCCAAAGCTCCAGCTCTTAGGTACTTTACTGGGACTGTCATCTAGGCTGGGGTCCAGACCAGGGCAGACTGCGGGGCCTTCAGAGCCCACTCCTGGGCCCACTGTGGGCAGGATTATCATCATTGTTCATCCAAACCTTGTGAAATTGCTTTGTCCATTATATGATTCATTTATTCATTCATGTTTCCTGTCAAGACATTCTTGAGAAAACAAACACAATGTCTGTAATCTAGACTTTTAATCAGGAACCACTCAACACAAAGAGTCAACATTTCACTTGACTGAACTCCAGTCACAGAGAAAGTGACTTGAGAATAAAATAACTTTTCAATCCCAACAATAGCAGTCCAGTGCATCTGTTGTCTAAGCTTTGTTACATATCATTCTAAATAGAAATTATAAAACATAATTTTTGATTTACATTATAATCAAGCAATAAATAATAAGTATGTTAGCAAGCAGCAGGAAAAGCAGATGCCTTTGTGCAAGTAGCGTTTATAAGTTACCTTGGTTTTTAGCATGGATTCCATTGCAGACTTTTACATTTATATTTCCACTTACCATGCTGAGGAGAACCTTTTCCTTTGTTCCCAGAGCTTCGTGGAGAGGAGAAGACTCTCTCCTTCAGACTCACTTTCTGACTGCGAAAAGAAAAATTACACAAACCGTATAATTTGTATGAAATTTAAATGTCACACCTCTAACGAGAAGTCACGTTCTAACAATAACATGAAAACACTAGACACATTTTAAATGAAGGAGGTGGACAGTGACCTGGGAGACGACTCAGGCTGGGCGTCCTTCCTAGAAAGCAGAGACAGGAATGGCTCTTTATTGAATAAGCAAGAAAGACCGACACGACTGGACATTAAGTGGTCATTGATTTTTGCTTCCGGTCTGTAGTTGTTAATACAAACCCTTCTCACACTCCATTAGAGAAGTAATGAATAGGTTTAGGTCTTCTCAGGGCGAAGTGTGGACGGGGTAACATTACCTGATTTATAAACCCAAACCCACTCTTTCACCACTTTGGTGAAAGAATGTCCTAAAAACTCATTTAGGGGATCCACGTGACGAGAGCATAAAACTTCACTGGCTCTCCACACTAATATTATTGTTATGTTCAAGATAGAAATTTATACTTGCTCTTGGATGCTAGAGTTAGAGATTCTGTTTTATTTTAATTAATATAGATATTGTTCACTTTTCTTGTGCTGTGTGCTCCTTGTTCCTACTGTTCTGTAACTTGTCCTGCAACACTGAAATTTCCCCGCTGTGGGACGAAAAAGGATCTCCATAAGGCCCCCTCATACCTGAGTGACCTGCTCCACCCATACACCCCATCCCGCTCTGTCCACACTTCTTCTGCTGCTCTCCTCACTGTCCCCACCGTCAAAATGGCCACGATGGCGGCCACAGCATTCAGCCACTCTGCTCCCAAACTCTGAAACACTCTACTGCTTGACCTGCGACTGTTTCCGGACATTTTCAAATCACATCTCAAAAAATACCGTTTTAAACTGGCTGATTCCTTCTATTTTTTTAAATGTATTCCATTCTGTACTTTTAATTTAGTGTGATGTTTTTGATATAATGTAAGGCGTCCTTGGGTGTCTTGAAAGGCACCGTGAAATGAAATGAATTATTATGATTATTATTAAAACAAAAGGATGATAGGTATGATGCAATTAAAACTCTCTCCGACCTGAAGGAAAGGCCAGACTTGTTCTTCAGGTTTCTCAGTAGATCCAGTTGGTTCAAGGGAGGAATCAATCTGGACAAGCACAAACAATAATAATATAGTTGGAAACACACATTACATGTATTTTGTAAAACAGTTCTCACGTTGTGTGGACAGAGCGATGTAGATAAATGAATGGTACCTGTACATTGGGACAGTGGTTCTTTCATAGTAGTCCCAAGTCGAGTTGAGATCTGTTCGGGTCAGATTGGTGGCATAAACCCTCCATGCAGCCTTTATTAAAGTCAAATCAAAAGTCCATGTCAACAGTGTAACGCATTTGGCTGTTTTTAATATTAACTGTAAGACGGAAAAAGCCACCGCCATCATGGTTGTCAACAAGGAAAGGAAAAGAGAGAAGTATTTGAGTCTGTACCTGCACCAGTCCAGCAGCTGGGTTCCTACGTTTCTCAAAGTGCTTCTGTCGATGCTGCTCCTGGACTTTCAGGGCAAACCCAGAGCCAAGAATTCCCTAGAGAGAGGCTTGTTGTCAATATGCAGTGCAAAATCATGGACTAACTGATGAAGCTGCATAAATACTGCTATTGTTGGCTACTTTTAGCAATATGTATTTCTATGTGTTGTTTGTATGGATGGATGTGTTTCTGCTGCTACTGGAGACCTGATTTTTTCCGTCAAGGATCAATCAAGTATTTCTCTATCTGTCTGTCAATCTACAAATGTATTTGGCAGGTCAAATAAGTTGAATGCATGATGAACTCACAGCGGGCAGAGCAAAGAAAGACACTCCTATCAAAGTGAAGGTAGCAGCCAGCAGACGGCCATTCCATGTGATGGGGAATTTGTCCCCATAGCCGATAGTGGTCAGAGTGATCTGAAAACAACAAGTCCGTTTTACATGATTTATCTTCTATGTCAGGGGTGTCAAACTAATTTCGTCATGGGCCAAATTTAAAAACATAAGAGCTGGTTGGGACCAAAAGTATAAAAGTGTATTTGACATAAGTTTAGTATTAATTTCTAGTAGTTTAGGATGCAACCACAACTGGGCCAGATATCAATAAGAGATGTATTGGAAGCTACTTTTGACGTTGACATTTTGGAACAGATACGGTTGTTTTCCTAAGATATTATTTTATTTTTCTTAAGTATAACATACCATAGTATTCCATTACCATCAATGCAGAAAGTTAATGTGATAATTATTATTGAAAATCATTTCAGAGTCCAGTAAAAATGGTCTTGGGGCCCAGATTTGGCCCGCAGGCCTGAGTTTGACATGCCTGCTCTATGTCAATAATAGTTAAGACGTTTGTTAAACAATGGAACGCACCAGTCCCCACCAGAGAGCATCAGCATATGTTTCAAACTGGTCGTTATCCTCCTTCTCAGCCAAGTAAACCAGGAAACTCGCCAGGATCAGACACAAGAAGCCGATGTACCACGCTGTGATCAGCTCCTGCACACACCAGCATGGTATACGTTTCAATTTGTACTTATATTTTTAGCCGTGGACGTGAGGTCAGCCAGAGGTTGATAAATGTCTTTAATGTATGTGCGTCTTGCTGTAATCCGGTTCCTGTCGGCGGATGTCATCTGAACTGTTATTGATCACATGTATTGATCTTTTTCACCTTTTAGAATCAGCTTCTATAAATACACCTCAGCACTACTGTCCCTCACAGTGGTACAGCATAAACTCATATTTGATAAGAACATCCAAATGATAAAGACAGTGTTATTCCCATTGCCTCTTTACAATGTCTATATTCAAATCTGTTTATAGTCTAAAGCTGGATCCCTTCTGCTTTTTACCAGCAAAGATTATGCAGTTAATTACAGTTTGATGCACAACAGAAAGCAGAAGTTTACAGACAAAGACAAAGCAATATTTTGTCTTGCTGTCAGAAATGATACTTCTGACTTTGTAGAAAGTATCATAAATAAGTCAGAAGATTTACATCCCTCAATATTGTGGAACTGAGCCAATAGAAATTATTTTAGTAAGAAATAATGTAAAAATGTTCTTTTATCCATCAGTACATTGTAACAGTAGTAGTGGCATCGGTTTGTCCATGGACTGACAGAGGAACTTGAAAGCTTTTCCTGAAACATAATCACGGCTATACCTGTGTGTGAAAGCCAGATCCCGTCAGAACTCCAAGGCTGTGCAGGGCAGGGCTTGGTTAGTACTGTGATGGGAGACCTCTGGGAACACCAGGTGCCACAGTGGGGCGGCTGTGGCTGTAAAGTGCCAAACTATTGTTGTGTCCTTAGGCAAGACACTTCACTCACATTGTCTAGAATGAGTCTGGTGTGTGTGTGAATGGTTGGTGGTGGTCGGAGAGGCTGATAGCACATACTTGTCTTGCTTATGCCAGTGTGCCCCAGGGCAGCTGTGGCTCCAGTAGTAGTTTATTACCACTGTGTATGGAGTGAAAGAATACTGACATGTAAAGTGTCTTTGAGTGTCAAAAAAGTGCAGTATAAAACGGATGCACTATTATTATTATTAATAATCTATAATTTATCTGGTTTCTTTACAGTAAAGTAAATATAATCAAAATTCTGATAAAGGTTTTTATCCATATTTTTTTCAATGTGATAATGATTCAAAATTAAATATATGAATGAATGTATTTCGGAGAGTGTATAAACAGTAATAATCAATGTTTGGTCGTATTTTTGTGTGTAGTCAGTCAGCCAGACTCAACCCGTAGCTGACCTTGCTGTGGGCATAGACCACTGAGCCCAGAAGTTTCCAGGTGCCTCCGCGACGGTCCATCCTGATCATCCTCAGGATCTGGAGGAAGCGCAGGGAGCGGATGGCTGATGTAGCAAAGACATTCCCCTGTGTTCCAGCCGCCAGCACCGACACCGAAGCAATCAGCACCATGATGTCTGAGGAGGGGAGAAGTGGGGCTGTTTCAAATTACATTTCCTCATGGACTAGAATATCTTATACTGAAACACTGGTGTGCATCTGGACAGTCTCAAAAGTGCTGCTTATTGTAATCACCGATGACGCAGAAGGGTTTTCTGGCAAACTTCAAACGGCCTCTCCACCCTCTGTACCGACAGCAGCATCCCGCCGCCCAGATCCTCACCATGTACTCCACTCCAAACACCACTATGGTCACCACTTCCTGAAGAACACAAACAAACACATCTTTTTTACACATCTGCTATCAGACAAGCTTGTCAACAACATCATCAATTATTTATGTTTGGTTGTAAACAAAGATTACGTTTTAAAGAAAGAGCAGCCTAGTCACAAGTGATCTGAAAACGACATCACAATATTTTATCGTTCACAAATGAAACCAATATTATTTTAGATGTATATTTGTAGCACCACCTGCATTGTGAAAGCCATTTCTCGGCAGAACTCTGAAGCTAAGCAGGGCAGGGCCTTGTTAGTACTGTAATGGGAGACCTCTGGGAACATCAGGTGCCACAGTGTCTGATTGTCGTGGTGTCATTAGGCAAAACACTTCATGCACATTGCCTAGTGTGTGTGAGTGAACAACAGAGTCTGTAGTACAGTAGGAGCTTATGACTATGCTGTATGGAGTGGGAGAATAATGCCATGTGAAGTCGCTTATATTGTCCAAAAAAGCGGTATGTAAAAACCAATAAAACCGTTGGACGTACCAGAATGTACAGAGCATCCTCAGAACTCTTTTCGTACTCTTTGATGGTGGAGAAGACGGACATAACAAGACAGGAGAAGACCAGCAAAAACCTGTCAACAGAGTAAGCATCAATCATACACATACAGTATATGCAGAAGAAAATAAATACTATTGATAGTTATATGTATCTATCTGCAGCATCACAAAGTCACCTGCGCTTTTCAATAGAGACACATACAGTAAACGGACAAATCCAGACCTGCTGATGAGAGACCACAACAGAATTTGAGCCCTGTCCTGGGAGGTTTGGTTGGACTTGGCTCAAAGTTGTGACACAGTAAAAAAAAAAAAATAGACCACTCCTTGCAGGTCTTTCACTATCTGAAGTATAGGTACACATGTGAAAAGGCTTCTTACACATATGCATGATAGATGAAGGCCCATCCTCGAGGACGTTCTAAAACATTGTAAAGAAAGTTCTGAAGCCTCCTGTAGACGGCATTACGCTTCACTGGCTTCTTCCCTCCAGACACACTGCTGCGCTGTCGTCGGGGGCCCTCCTCCACACCTGAGCGGACACGAGGGCATTGCACTTTATCAATATTACATTAAGCAACACATTGTTTTAGTTGTCATAGCCCTAAAGTGATGACTGCATATGTTCTTTTTAGATAGTATTGTACAGTTTGAAATCGAATGGCTATCTATCTATAGCTGTAAACAAATCTCCTAGGAGGGTATTTGACAAGGCAAGTTTATTTGTATAGCACAATTCACAAGGCAACTCAAAGTGCTGAACCAAACAAGATAGAGACAGTCACACAAGGCATTCAAATCATAAATAATCACAGTACACTAAAAAGAGCCAAGCTAAAATGCCCTCAACTAAACAGAATTGTTTTTAACCTGTATTTGAAAATTGTCAGCAATGAAACCTGTCTCACATTTTGACTCATACTCATTCATCCATTCACATGTCTAGACCCCTCGGGCAAGCAGCTTAAATCTAGTTATCTATATTATGTAATATAGGCAGGCAAAAATTAGCCTATGTTATACTGTATTCTGTGGCCACAAAAATAACTAGTAATTATTTTTGATTGTAAGGCTGTTAGTGGTGCATTGGTCACATTCCAACACTGTAAATCACAGAGTCACAGACACATGCCGCTCACCCGTGATGAGGAGGGCCCCATCCCTGCTGGTCTCCGCCACGGCGCCCTCCAGCCCCACGAAGCCCACTTTGAGCTTCTTCTGGTCGCTCTGGGATGCTGGAAACACGCCGCCGTTCCGCGACTTTTGGACCATTGTTAGAAATAAAACGGAGACGGGAAAGGAAAAGGATGGAAGAGAGGAGACACGAGCAGAAACGGACGGAAAAAGACGAAGCGAACCGAACACGTCTTTAGATGATGATACATAGAGAAAATGAGAATTTGTACAAGACGCGAGGATTAACGAAATACGAATGGCTGAAACTGGGGACAGGAGAAAAACAAAATCTAAGAATATATCCTTGGCAGATATGGACAAACAAACACGTAAAAGCGGCGGCGGCACAGGTGACAATTAAGATAGAAAGAAAACGAATGAAAACTCCCGTTGTAAGTCCCAAATCAGAACAGAGACAAATGCAGGCACGCACATCGCTCCAAATGCGGTGAACATGTTAGAGACGGTGGGAGTAAGAGATGATGAGAGGAAATTACAGCCGACAATAAAAATACGAACCGAGGTGAGCGCTTGCAACGTGCCGCAGAGAGACGCGCGTTACCGCCACATGGGGCGCGCTCCCGGGACCAAGCAGAAGAGGAGGAGGCTGTTATATATGCTGTCTATGGAGGAGAGCGAACACACCGAGGGGGGACATCAGCAGAAAAACAGGGTCTGTTTACATCTGACCCTGTGTTTGAGATCAGACACGACCGGAAGTGTGTCCACAGACGGACGGAGCAGAGAGAAGGAAGACTGTTACCAGGGAGACGGGAGGATGTTGCTATGACAACTACATTGGATGAAAGAGGGCATTATTTATGTTATGTTATTTCAAGTATATTCAGCATTTAGGCTGATATGAAAGGATATATGGGAATAATACAATGGAAATGAGTGTGTTTTTTTTATCTCTAATCTGTAGTAAACCTGATGGCTCACAGAATAATGTAACTGGAAAATATGAAGCAGTGTTGATCAAGTGTATGCTGTATCAGAAAAATAATAATAGCAGTAAAACACTGGGGGGGGGGGGGCAGGCAACAAAATGTAAGCAAAAATAAAATATAAAAACAATATTTATAAATAAAACAACTATTTATAAATAGATACAAACAAAAGATCATGTTTAAGCATAAACAGCTACTATCTGCTAATGAACATGTGCTAGTCCAGGTCTTCTGAAACCCTTTGGTGTAAAGTAAACCAAACTAAAAACTGCAATATCCTGTATGGCCTTATGATGGTGCCATTCATCCACTTTTATTTTTGGCATTTTGTTCTCGCAATTTTTATGTGTACTTCCACGCAGCCCAGGTCCGGTTTAATGATGTCAGGTCTTTTTAACCCAAACATTTGAAAAGCGAATGTGGATCTGAAACTCGTGCAAAAACATTGGTCAACTTAAATTAATTTTTTACTACTCAAACAAGGGACTATATCCCCAGCAGGACCCATGATATCTCCTTCAGATCTACTGTTTTGTGCCTATGACTAAAAAGAGTCCAACATATCTGACTCATTTTAGTAATGGTCTGAAATAAACAACAAACTGAGTAGGCGTTTTGTGTATCTGCCTCCTAAAGCAAGAGATTACAGCGTCTAAGGACCCTATGGGATTTTTGCTGGCAGCACTTGCAGCAAAAAACTTTTGATTCCAATTGAAATGACGTGTTGATACAGAACATAAAAGATGTCTGTTGGTTTAGTTCACTGTGTTCTATATTGATTTATGTATTTCTATTGCAATACCAAGGAGCCTGCTATAGTATCCTACACCCATTCCATGAAGTCAGCGAGATCTTAGAATCACATTTGTAAAGCTAAAGTGGTTGTGCCATGTTATAGGAGAGCGTATAAGGACTATTGTGGAGGTTGTACTTTCTTATTATCACACATTTCACAAATAGCGTCACTATGTCACCTTATCATTTCATGTGTTAATCATGAACTCTACTCCACTGTAATGATATTCTGCCACTCTGGCCACAGCCGCCCTGGGAGTAACAAAAGCAGAGCTGCTGACCACCTCTCAATCATTCACCCACTCACCAGGTTCATACCGGAGCATGTTTTATGTTGTGACTGTGGGTATGGGAAAAGGTTTATCTTCTAGTGCTGTGACAATGCTGCATTTTCAAACTCAGTTTAGATAATGGTTAGACTCTTTAACTCTGTAATTGACTCTGCATTTCCGACACCATGCTCTCCTCCCTCTCCTCTTCTTACATTTTTTACTTTTTTGCACTTAATAATAGTAATGATGCATTGTTTTTTCTTGGACACTGAAAGATACTTCACATGTCATTATTCATTCACTCCAAACACAATGGTGAAAAACTACTAATGTAGCCACAGCTGCCCTGGGGAGCACTGACAGAAGCAAGGCAAATGTTTCCATTGGTATTTGGCCACTTTTTAGGTTTCTTTTTGTGCTGTAACATTATTGGTACAAAATAAAAAACACTTTTTACGCCATTACACAAGGTTCTATACTGTTTTTACTGCGTCAAAGTGTGATGCTGTGAACAGTCTTTCTCACAATTGTTTTCTCAATATTTCTTGTATACATTCTCACTTAACAATAGTTTTTGTTATCCAAACATTTTTGGAGGTAAAAGTAGTAGAACTTGGAGAATATCTACTATAAAGGCATCAGAGTCTCTCTGTGTTTCTGATTTTCATCTGAGCCATATTATGTGTTATATTGTGGCTATAAAGGCGTTGAAGACATGAACACACACTGTACCCCAGATCCTTAGTCATCCACCACTTTACTTTCTGTCTCTGAACTGTGAACACTTGTTCTGTCAGAGGTGGGATGGGAGACGTACACTCACCCTGGAGTCTATTTTTCTAATTTCCGCACAGCTTATACTTGGGTTTCCAATGAAAAGGGCTGTTACCATTTATAGTAGGTCATTTACTCTATGTATTGTTTGACTCTGAAAAAGTCCCCATATTGCATAACATTAGGAAGCAGAAGGAGACAGAGTAACTGAAATCGACTGGACTGAAGTGACGAAAGCCTCTGATTTATAACAGTACTATCAATCTGTTCTACTATTTCCTTGACCTGCCGTCTCTCGTCTAGTGTACATGCGGGGATTTCATTCACTGCCACAGCTTCAGACCATAGTATTATTTTGTGTCTGTTTTTCCTACTTTCTCTCACTCTGTGGGACAATCTTGGACAAATGAGGAACTCCCTCGACCTTTGGAACAGCTTTTTCACACAAGAAAGAGAAACCAGGATCACAAGTTAATGCCATCCCAAAGTGTCATAGTGACTCACAGGCCGGGGTGGCTCCAAGAGGGGGCGGCGGATCTTCAGCTCCCCTAAAAGTCACATTGCACCCCTAAAGATTGTTTGCTATTATTCCATATACCGTAGTTCTTCCCCAAATGTCTATCGGGAAAAAACTGTCTCTCACAATAATGTCCATATTCTCTATAAATACAGATTAGTCACTCATTTGTAGTCTAAGCATGGTGGATATGTGCAGGACAAGCTTGTGTGAGTACGCCCCCCAGATCCCCCAGGAACTCAAAGAAACTCACAGGACTATACTGACAGGAGTCTCTCTATCTCTATCTTTTTTTTTTATTCTAGCAAGAAGATTGAAATCCACTTCACATACTGCACTTCTAAATAAGATCATTAAAATCAGCAAGAACATCAATGGAGCGCAGCAAGACCCAGTCACAGTCAGCTACAGAATTTTAAGCAAAGGCACATTTAAACAGCTGATTGGAGCACGGTCTTCTTCGGTCGAGTTTTGAGCTGTTTATATAGTGTTTATGTGTCTTGTGTATAGCGTATTCATATCGTTTATCTATCAGCTATTTATAGTGCTAGCACTCTGTCTGTGAATGAACTTCCTCACGGATAATTGAACAAGGAATGATTGGACGTTTCACCAACAAGGCTTAAAATTGTTATTCAAGAGAGACATGCAGTGCACTCACAGCGCATATTAATTACAATGTAAGATTAAGATTATGAGATCCTTTATTCGTCCCGCAGCGGGGAATTTTCAGTGTTGCATCACAAGTTACACAGCAGTAGGAATGAGAGGAAAACAACGCAATACATGAAAATATAAAGCATAGCAAAACTCTGTACTTTAAATATTAAAGGAGAGGACCTGTGGAACCTCTCCTTCACACAGCCAGGGTGGATAAGTCCGTCACTGAATCTGCTCTCTAGAGCCAAGAGTGTCCTGCAGGGGGGACAGTCATGGTCCAGCTTCCAGGGACAGCCCAGGAGCTGGACTGACCTGATCTTTCTGTCCCTCTCTGTGCTGCCCCAACAGACCACGCCGTGCAACATGACCACACAAATCTACCACAGAGTGAGAGAATTTATTTTTCATTAATTTGTTTTTATATTACTATTATTATTTCTATCTTACTTTTTTAAAACACATTCTTTTTTCAGATTTAGATTTTTGATTTAACAAATATTTTTTTTTACTTCTGGAAAAAGAAATATAAAATTACAAATTCTTATTTCAAACAATATTACTCTAGTACAAATAATACTCAGAAATTGTAACTGATTTTGAGATTGTATTTCTGTCTTTAGTTGACTTGGACAGTAGCCAAAGGCGAATTTTCATCTGTAATCCCAGGGAGCGGGGTCAGTGTGGATTGTATAAAAATACAGACGATAAAAGAATCAACAACGGTAAATCACACACATAGTGTCACAGCGTGGAGCATTTTCAACAACAAAAAAACATGCACATGACATGACCACATTTACTGCACACAGTCCTCCATTGCACACACACTGGTATCGCACATGTCTTTCCTTCCATCCATACACTTGCACTCATTGTTATTGTTCAGCCATGTTGGCAGGTCTGGTTGTCCAGGAGGTCGGTGAAAGAGTTGGGTGATGTTAGTTCGTAGTATTGCGTTTGGGATTTTGTTCCAGGTCTGTGATGCGTGGTAGGAAAAGACAGCCTGTCCAAATGCAGTTTTCTCGGGGAAAACTACAGTCACACCTTGAGAACTTGCTTATGTGATTCTGTTCGGACTTTTCTTCTACAGTGTGGCAGTTACAACACCATGCAGAATATTTTATACGAGGATTGAGTCTGCATGTTTTATCAAGTTCTCCCAAATGAATATGCTGGGATTTCTCAATGTTGTACAGTGATGCCCTAACACTCACCCCAAGTTTTATATGTTACAAGTTTCAACAGGTTTTAACTATATGATTTAGTACAGCGGTTGAAAAATGTCAAACTCCATACTTATTGATCCCCTGCTGTTGAAATTTATAAAAGTTTGACTGTGGAGTTCGTAATTGGACGTTCTATTTCTCCGATTATATTGGAGATTATGGTATATGTCTCCTCCAACCTTTTCCTCCCACGTGTCCGCCCACAGAAGCCTGCGTTGTTCAGCTTCTCACATTCTGATGACCAAGTAATGAAAGTGCCTGTAGCTGACAGGTGAGCGTGCACTCCTCCACAAGTGGGCAGGGGATGTCAGATGATTCACATGGCACGGCAGCCTGGGCTCACAGTCAGAATGTATTGGTAAAGTTTTCTTTATGGATTAAGTGGCTTCATGAATGCTCTTAGCCTGAGGCGTCCACTGGCAGACGGATCCAACTGGCTGTAGCCTACTATAGATAGCTCCTTCCAGTGGTTTTCAAAAGCAGCTGTTTTTGATGTGCATTAGACTGACTACAATAAACTCTTATACTTTTTACTTTGTCATTTCATGTTTTAGAATGGGAAATAACATCTAAGGTAGAAAATATTTGGTAAAACATAGTAAGAGTAAACAGTGGCTGTAACTCCCTGTGCCTCAACCAAAGGGATGAATTTGTTTTTGGTATTTTGCACAACTTTTTTTCCAACAAAAAATACTAGAAAGTATAAGTGTCATGTGGGGGTGGAATGATGCATTTTAAAACAATACATTTCAATTCAAAGTCAGAAGACATAATTCTGAAACCATCTTAAACATATGATACAGCCCCTGAAAAACTAGATAACATTAGGATTTGGAACAATTCCGTTTGATACAACCAATTATATATTATATAAATGGCAAAAAGCCACTGGTACTGGTACTGTACTGGTACTGGTACTGGTATGTTCTCTATATTATCAATTCGTCCGCTGTACTGTTAAAGTATATCATAAACCATTTGCTGTCTCAATTGTAGTAAAACTAATGACAGTTTACAAGTGAAACCAAGCCTGGATTCAGATGCCCTGCCTAGAGTTCCTTAGTTTGTCATTGCTTAATTATTTGAATGTAATGTTTTGGGCACAGTGTGATTTGACAGTACGTTTTAGAAAACACAAAGCAGCGTTGTCTCCACCACAGTCTCCCACACACCACCAGACAAACACACAGCGGCACTATACATATGTCAGACTTATTGTTCTTTCTCCTAAACTCACTGTTTTTAGAATGATTCTCCATTTGCCTTTTACAAGTTTGCTTGGCTAAAAGAAGCACCAGATTTATACACGACATAAACTGGAGATGGAAATGTTATGTTGGATAAATCTTACTTGTGTACAAAGGTTTAGTTTTGTTTTGGTTTTTGAAGATTTTCTAAATTACAATATTCCAAAGCAACTGTTTAAGATAAGCTAACAAAACAATTGTTCTCTTGGGCGGCACGGTGGCTGAGTGGATAGCACTCTCGCCTCTCAGTAAGAAGGTCTTGGGTTCAAATCCTGGTCGGACCAGGGCCTTTCTGAGTGGAGTTTGCATGTTTGTGATTGGTCTGTGAATGGTAGTATATAAATAACAATTACTTATTATTTCTGCATTTGTGGCTCATTGTACTGAGAGGTTGCTTGGTAACACACTTGGCATGAGTTCATGATTAACAGAGGTGCAATTATAAACCTTGAAGTCTTTACTTTATGTGTGTTTTCGTACATTGTGTCTCACCTGTCATATTCACTTTCAAATTCAAACTTTGAAAAGGTCACTTTGTGTGTAACCTGTTTCTAAATGCCAACACACGTCTTCAGCACTTTAGTGTTATTCAAAGCGGTCCAACTATTTATAATTACCTGGTACTTATGAGTGCAACACATTTCATGTAGTCATTTAACATTCTGTACTCTTGCTTTTGTTGACACGTCTGTCAATTAGTCGCTACATGGGCACAGATCCATACCTCATTTGAAATACAGAAATTTGATACAACTTTTAATTCAATTCAATTCAATGTATTCTTGTATAGCCCTAAATCACAACAATATCTCGAAGGACTTAACAAAACCGTTGAATTCGCCAACACAGATCAGAGAATCCAGTCCAACACGAGAAATGCAATGATTAAAAAAACACATAGAGCCTTTGGTCCATAAGGGGCAGATGACCAATGTGCATAAATTATTTTATAGTTATTTTTTTAGGATCTTTCTTTGGGTTTTTGATGATTTTCTAAATTACATTATTCCATGGTAACTGTTTAAGATAACATTACCAAATAGTATTACTCTTGTTTATTTTTCCTGGATATTTGGCTCAATGTACAGAAAGGTTGCTTGGTAACACACTTGGCATACGTTCATGATTAACAGAATTATAAACCTCATACTCTTTAAGTTAAGTGTTCATTCATTCCTTTCAACCCCTTTATTTGTCAGTGGATGGCAATGATAGCTGCCACCCAAAGCTCGCTGATCCTCTGCAGGTGGTGAGTCCACAGGAAGATGACAGTAGACATTTGTGGGAGCAGTTAGAGTAGGCTTGAACCCATGACCTTCAGGCTCAAAGGCCAATGCTCTACCAACTGAGCTACTGTCACCCCTAAGTTATGTGTGCTTTAGTAAATCGTGTCTCACCTGTCATATTGAGTTTCAAATTCAAACTTTGAAAAGATTTGAATGGCGTACACAACATAAATGCCGTGCTCACAATTAGAAATATCCACAAAAACATCATATACTGTATGAGCGTGTTGTCACTATGCCACTACTATTATGAGGCAAATGGAGCTCTATAGAGCTCCATTTGAATCCCAGCACTTGTCTGTTTCTCCCCTACAGGCGCTGTGATTGGCTGTCCCCTGGCCCCTCCTTTGCTCCGGCCGGCTGCACGCGAGCGGTGTGTGTCTATCCTCCGTATTGCTCCTGCAGTGTTTGGATGAGGAGGTGGAGGAGGAGAAGGAGGAGAACCCAGTCAGCCTGCAGTCGCATGTCCGCCCCGCTATGCTCCTACTGTGGCCACACCACTCTGCAAGGACTCCTTACCGACTCAGAGCTCCATGATGAGGACCAGAAGTGACTTTGTGCGGGATGAATGAGAGGCAGAGATGGAGCCAGTGAAGCAGGTGCGTGTGTGTGTGTGTGTGTGTGTGTGTGTGTGTGTGTGTGTGTGTGTGTGTGTGTGTGTGTGTGTGTGTGTGTGTGTGTGTGTGTGTGTGTGTGTGTGTGTGTGTGTGTGTGTGTGTGTGTGTGTGTGTGTGTGTGTGTGTGTGTGTGTGTGTGTGTGTGTGTGTGTGTGTGTGTGTGTGTGTGTGTGTGTGTGTGTGTGTGTGTGTGTGTGTGTGTGGGAGGTGATGCGGGTTTGCGCCGTATCTGTGTTGAAACGATCAACTTTTTGCTCTTCACATCTCATTCATACTTGCATGCATTTTGCAATAACACAAACAGAAGGGACCTGCCTGCATAGCAAAGCAAACGGCAAAAGATAAGATAACCATGGCAAGTGGATCATCTCCGTGGTCTATATATTTTCTTGTAAAAGTGCTCTCATACTCATTACACCACAGTAGTAACGCAGGGTCATTGCATGTGCACTTTGTATGATCATTAGAATAATTACGAAGGCGTGTTCTGGAATCCTCACATGTGAAATTATACCCTTTTGATGAATGACATGTTTGCATAATCACTCAGATATAATCACTGGACCTCATTGCACGCATGGTTGGAAATACTTGAAAACAATACTTTAAAGAGGTTCATTTCACCAGTATAAACAGCGGGAAAATATAACCAATAATTTGATTAAAATTACACATAAATTAGAAAAATTCTAAAGTTGACATTTTGATCATATGAAAGTTATTTCCCAGATCTTACAAATAATTTAATTTTTGTAACAGCTTTTTTCTTTTTTGTACAAATTATCATTGCTCAATCTGGTTTTTATTTATAATTTGGATTGTGTCTTTACTCAATCATTTTATGTGTATGTTAAAATGAGCTAATAATTTAAAACATGCATATAGAATAACCCCATCACTGATTAACAATTCTCTGAAACATTAATATGTCGTGGCTCTTTATTCTGCTGATCTGTTTTCACCAGCCAGACATTTGCACATTTCTGTTAAGTGTGACAACAATATGATAAAATGTGCCAGACCAGTGTTTTTTTCTGCGGATTGCACCATGGGTTATTTTACATTTGTGTTTACATAATTAACACCACATTTATCGCTCCATCTGTATTTCCTTGTTTTTGACCTACAACCCACATTAATATCTTTCTGCTGGGGTTGTAATATTGCATGATTGAGGGGACGGAGCCCCCTTGATGCAGTGGTCCTCAGAGGGTCTGCCCTTGAGCCGTGTCCGCTGGTGGGCAGATGTGGGGGATTGTCTTACTGTTGTGCGTATGTGCGAAAATGTGTGGTCTTTGTGGATATGTGTTGTGTGTTGGTGCTATATTTAGTCAATGTGACGTTGTCTTGGAGGATCTCCAATTTGTTCTGAAAGTGCTTCGAGTCAAATCTGAAACACAGCCAGAGGGAGGTTGTGGGGGTGGATGAATTGGAAGGAATAGAGTCACATTCCTGATAAAGATTCATCGAAAGGGTTTCTAACGGTAACCAAAGTTTTCCCTTCCCACAAACCGACCTGCCTCCTGGATGCTCAAAACGTATTTCTCTCACACAAAACCCTGGTCTGTTATCTAATCTATTTTGGTAAAGAAAACCAAAGAACAATATTTTCAACAAACTGAGAAGCTGTAATGAAATCAGAAGTGTTTTGATCGGCTGCCTCTCTATTAGTAATAAATGACACACTCAGAGAAGCCGTCACTGGATTGTTGGTTGATGATGCATCCCAATCATGGATAATTATTTAATATCATAATTGTGTGAAAATATGTCCACATTGTTTCACCTGTTTGGATCTATTACTTTGAGCCGTTTGGACCCACAGAAGCACTCCCTCCCTCATCTGTTTGCTAAGAGCCAATTACCACATCAATGAATGTTTAACCATATGTAAGTGTGTTTGGTTTGACCCACATGTTCCTGCTTCATTTTGTAACAAGTGCAAATTGACCTTAATGCAGACTCATCTCGTACTGCAGCCGTCTAAACCAGTCGAACAACATTAGAGAAAATTACTAGTCCAAAACAGCATCATAAAATGTATATATATATAAGAATTAATGCTCAATAAGGACTTGGTCTTGTGTTTAAACTGCTGTGGGATGTCGAGATTAATCAGAATTTGATGTATCTATAGCCATGGCATGCAATCATTATCATGTTTTATGTTAAATGTGAATCAAAATGCATTGTTATGAACCAGGCTATAGAAGGAGTGGTAATTTACACCTGAAATTCCTGAGCAGGTTCATGTCACAGTAAAACCGTAGTAGATGGAGGCATAACCACACGATACTAACATTAGAATCAAATCAAATCAAGCTCACATGCATTCACACACCCTTCATAATATTATAAACCATATCATCAATATTTTAAACCAACATATTGTCATTTAAATTAATTCTTTAAACCAAGAAAGAAGAATTATGATTTCAGTCTCAAAAATGACAAGTTACAACTGTTGTGACAAAATGGCAACAGTACTAGAAAAAAAAGAAGGTACTTTCTTGTCTTCCGCTTTGATAGATTTCTCCTCATTTTTCTCCTCGCCTGACAACTGTATCAGAGATATGTGTTGACCTTGAAATGTTGTTAACAGCGAACCATCTCCAGAGCTGTCACCTGCTCTGGTGAAGTGTCAGATGGCGGCTCACGTTTCCTCTAAAGATGCCGATGGTCTCTGGAGGGCTGTGTCCCGCGAGAGAGAGGGCCCTCCTGTCTGTGATATAGATAGGTTTAGATTCATTCAGATTAATTCAGACCACCTCATTATCCTCAGTTGTAAATTGTAAATTGTGAACATAATCCAATCCAAAATAGCCATGGAAAACACAACAAGCAACACACAAGCAACACACAAGAATCCAGAATAAAGAAAAACAGATCAATTGTATCTTCCCTCTTTTGTATGTATTCATGATTTTAATGCCTTTGTATGAATGAATGAATGAATGAATAATTTTTATTATTGTGTCTTGCATACACACTGTATGCCCAGCCCTAATGGGCTTATAAGACACCAGTAACACCAACAAAAGCACCAGATGCCAGACAATAGGCACACTATACAATACATAAACTTATTTAAACAAACAAGTCTGCCGCCTCAACCAGGCTTTACAAACAAAAGAAGCCAATTTAAACACATTAGAAGTAGAAGTTTGTATGTCTTGTTTTGTTAAGCACTTTGAGTTGCCTCGTGTGAGAACTGAGCGAAATAAACAGGCCTTTTCTTGCCTTAACAAAACAAGAAATTATGTTCAACTAATAAATGTAAATCAAGTCATAATTATCTAATACATTTTAAGTCATATGATACAATCTTTCAGTTGTATTCTCTGCTAACCAGAACTGTTTTTAACCTGGATTCAAGCATTGTCAGAGAATCTATCTTACACAGAAGGTCCTGGGTTCAAAGCCCGGTCGGAATAGAGCTTTTCTGAGTGGAGTTTGCCTGTTCTCCCTGTGTCTGCGTAGGTTTCCTCCGGGTACTCTGGTTCTAGGTCTGGCATGCGCTTCCTGTACTGGCGACCCTGCTCCCATCTCTGTGTGGAGTGAGAGATAAATGCCCAAAAAAAAATAACAATTGTAAACCGCTTTGTGACTCTGGTCTGTGAAAGGCGGTATATAAATAAAGATTACTTACTTACATTCTCAGGAAGACACAAAAGCCCAAATACCATTCCACATGTGCATACAATACATGAGTTAGCAGGTCTGCTAATGGAATTTGGTGGTGAGACAAACTGAAGAAGAAAAAAGGCTTAAAAACGCAAAATCCGCGTTCAGACCTCTGCAGATAGAATGACCACATTCTGGACACGGGTCACCGCTCATTACTGAGACCAACGAGGTGAAACGAATGATAAAAGAGCTCATTGAAATCAGGGAGTGAGGAAATGAAATCAATACTTGTCCACTGTCCAAGGATAGCAGCAACTTCGAAGGACTCAGCAGATTAATAATCAATTCATTAATTCAACAGATATTGGTTAAAAAAAAGAAAAGAAAAAGAAAAATTGATCAATGTACTGGACCATTAAGAAAAAACTGTGGTAAGAAGAGAAACCTCGGACAGAACCACGGTGCAAGACCCACTCAGCAGGATGCACACACGCACACACACGCACACACACACACGCAAACGCACACACACGCACACAAACACATTTGTTGGGAGATTCATCGGCCGTGGTGAAGTAGCCTTTTTCTTACATGGGACACTCTTCTCCGGACACCATCAGGCCAAAAGCTGCAGTTGAGAGGTCAAAGCTCTGAATGTAACCATTATCACATTAGTCCTGCATGAATCGACATTAACATGCAAATTATACATCAGAGGGCTCAGTGCTGTGACCCTTGAGAAGAAGAATTAAAATTCATCTCAGACAGAGTGCAGTTTTTTTTTGAGACGTTTCCAATTGACCTAAATATCAAATGTTTTGACAGATTTACGATTTTCTCATTTTTTACTTCCATCCATCCATCCATCCATTTTCTTCCGCTTCATCCGTTGCCGGTTCGCGGGGGCAGCAGTCTAAGCAGAGACGCCCAGACTTCCCTATCCACACACACCTCCTCCAGCTCGTCCGGGGGGACTCCAAAGCGTTCCCAGGCCAGCTGAGAGACATAGTCCCTCCAGCGTGTCCTGGGTCTTCCCCGGGGCCTCCTCCCGGTGGGACATGCCCGGAACACCTCCCCAGGGAGGCGTCCAGGAGGCATCCGGAACAGATGCCCGAGCCACCTCAACTGGTTCCTCTCGACGTGGAGTAGCAGCGGTTCTACTCCGAGCTCCTCCCGTGTGACTGAGCTCCTCACCCTATCTCTAAGGGAGCGCCCAGCCACTCTGCGGAGGAAGCTCATTTCGACCGCTTGTATCCGCGATCTTGTTCTTTCGGTCATTACCCAAAGCTCATGACCATAGGTGAGGGAG